TCTGCCTCAGGTGTAGGGAACCTTTGGTCCTCCAGATGTTTCCCAACAATAACTCACACCATCCTTGGTCATTCTTTCTGGAGCTAATGGGAATTGTAGTTCAGCAGCATCTGGAGGGCCAAAGGTTTCCCACACCTGATGTACAAATATTTGCAGTGCTGTCAGCTTAAATGAGTATGTGTTGATCAGGTGGGGCATAAGGGTAGCAGAAGAGGTGGCGAGGGTTGGTGAGCAGAGTGATCAGTGGTGGTAGCCCCTAGTGATTTACAGTATTTCTTAGTTCAGGGGATCTCAATGGATGCCCAAGTAAATTAACAACAGTCAAGAGCATTCCTAAGAAAAAAATTGAATTGTTAAAACATTTCCAAAAATAAAAAAGTGCATAAAAACCCAGCCCGCTCTCAATGCCATTTAAGACAATCATATTGCCTCAACAACAGCAGAATACCAGTCTGATTTTTATCACAAGGCCATCCTAAATGGCCAAGTAGTCACCATTCACTAAAAAAAGGCAGCACTGATTATGCCAGGCAGACCTTCCTTAAAAGGACAAGTAAGAGTTGCAGTACCAAGACTGAAAAGACCCTGCCTCATGTGTGCCCACCCACCACCCCCATGGCAGAGGAACATGGAGCAGGGTCTCAGATGTTGGACCCAAGTGATAGGCACACATAAGAGACAAGGTATTTTGGATATCCTGGTCCCTGTAGTATAGGATTCCAAAGGTGAAACGCAAAACTTTTGAGCTGAGTCCAAAAACAGTAACCAGTCCAAATAGAATAACACTAGTCCTATGCCTCACCCAGCAAGTTCAGCTTCGACTGTCCACAACAAACTTTACACTGCCGCTTGTATGCTATTTCAGAGGAAGTATGAAAGCTATGCTCACAACTGCTGGAATATTTGGGGGGGAGGGGTTCTTTTTTTCTTTAAGGAGAGTGAGAGAGGGAAAAGAACCAAACAGATGAAAGCAATGAAATCCCTGAAGAATTGACAGTGTGGGAGTAACCATGTCAGATTGGGTCAAGGTCGTTTGAGGAACTTTGCCGGTTTATGACGGAATGAATCCTATTAAAATGGCACAACGTACAAGTTCTGCAATCACCAGTCCCAGAAGTTAGATTGGGATAGTCAATGTGGTGCCCCTCCAGAATCTCATCATCCCAGATGATTCTCTAGGCTGAGTCACGTTGCTAGGATTTGCAGACCAACATATGGAAGGCACAACCTTAGCTAACCCAAGTTAGGTTCTCTCATTGAAAAATTGTGGTCAACTGCTGAAGTTCAGGGGGCTTCTGATTCTTCAAGAACTCCAAAGTAGGACCCCACTCATTAATCTCTCCCACTACACCAGGCATAGGCAAACTCAGCCCTCCAGATGTTTTAGGACTACAACTCCCATCATCCCTAACCACTGGTCCTGTTAGCTAGGGATGATGGGAGTTGTAGTCCCAAAACATCTGGAGGGCCAAAGTTTGCCTATACCTGCACTACAGGTTATTATGGGAGAGGCTACAGAGGTAAAACCTACAAACTGCTACGGGGTTTTTCTTTTCTTTTTGACAATCAAGCAGTATATAAATGTTATGAAATATAATAAAATTAATGTGCATCATTTGGCAACTGCTACAACAAGTAATGACGTGCAAGAACAGACACAGATCAAATGCTGCAGAAAGCTTTGTATTACCTCAAACGTACTATAGTTCAATGGAAAGTGTTTCTAGTTCAGCCAAGCATCAATGAGCAATGATGTTAGGAGCGATGCAGCCACTTGTACAAATCACTGTGTGTTCACTAAGGCTTTTAAACAGACAACTCCTGTCCAATTACAGCACCCCAGCTTCTGCTGGCAGTGTATACTAAACCTCAGAAAGTGCTGTGGAATCAGAATCAGGAAATAAGCACCATTTCCAATGGGACGAAACCCTCTATAAAAGAGTAGAGCTGCTGGACCATCTGGTCTACATCAATGTTGGCATTTTCAGTGTTGGCATTTATGTAACATTCTCAAGATTTCTTCTTCTTCACATGAAATATGCACGTTCTGTGTTTCTTGCCAAAATGTTCCCAGAAACCCAAAGGGGACTAAACACTGTCCAAGGAGTTGTGAGACTACAGCACGACACAACTCCACCTAATACTGCGCTTCGCCATTTGAGAAAATGCAAAAAATGCACAATTGCTCACAGGAATTTGGAACGGTGGGCTGCTTTTAAAAGCAAACTTTTTCTGGCCCTTAGTTGCTTATACAAGATAAGGATGCCTCAAGACACACCTCAGTTTTTCCCATGGCTTCCGCGCTGGTCATGGGACCGAGACGGCTCTGGTTGCCCTAACAGATGATCTTCGTAGACAGCTGGATCGAGGCGGGTCGGGGCTGCTGATTCTTTTAGATCTATCAGCAGCTTTCGACATGGTCGATCACGAACTTCTGGACCACCGCCTTGCTGACGTGGGGATCCAGGGCACAGTCCTTCAATGGCTGCACTCGTTTCTCTCTGGTCGGGGACAGAGGGTGGCGCTTGGGGGGGAATTGTCATCGCACCACTCCTTGGTGTGTGGAGTACCTCAGGGTGCGATACTCTCCCCGATGCTTTTCAACATCTTTATGCGCCCCCTCGCCCAGCTTGTTCGGAGTTTTGGGCTGGGTTGTCATCAGTATGCCGATGACACCCAACTCTATCTGTTGATGGATGGCCATCCTGACTCGGCCCCAGACACACTGACCAGATGTTTGGAAGCTGTGGCTGGATGGTTACGTGGGAGCCGGTTGAAGCTAAATCCTTCGAAGACAGAGGTCCTGTGGCTGGGACGGGGCGATATGGGATTGGGGGGGCAACTCCCATCTCTTGCGGGGGCGCAATTAGTGCCAGCACCGTCCGTTAAGAGTTTGGGTGTAATCTTCAACACCTCCCTTTCCATGGAGGCGCAGATTGCAGCTATAACAAAGGCGGCATTTTTCCATCTCCGCCAAGCTAAGCAGTTGGCTCCTTACCTCTCTCGCCCTGACCTAGCCACTGTGATCCACGTGACGGTCACCTCCAGACTGGATTATTGTAACTTGCTCTACGTGGGGCTGCCCTTGAGACTGACCCAGAAACTCCAGCGGGCGCAGAATGCTGCAGCGAGACTCCTTACGAGGTCTTCGCTGCGAGATCACATTCACCCGGTGCTATACCAGCTGCACTGGCTCCCGGTGGAGTACAGGATCAGGTTTAAGGTGCTGGTTTTAACCTTTAAAGCCCTATATGGCCTAGGACCCTCGTACCTACGGGACCGCCTCTCCTGGTATGCCCCACAGAGAAACTTACGGTCTTCAAATAAAAACATCTTGAAGGTCCCAGGCCACAGAGAAGTTAGGCTGGCCTCAACTAGAGCCAGGGCTTTTTCGGCTGTGGCTCCGATCTGGTGGAACACTCTGTCACAAGAGACCAGGGCCCTGCGGGACTTGACATCTTTCCGCAGGGCCTGCAAGACAGAGCTGTTCCACCAGGCCTTTGGCTAGGGCACAGCCTGACTCCCTCCCTCGGCAATCTTCGCGGAGCTCTGGCCCAATGGTTGCTAGTGGCTTGAATTAATTAATTTTTATGATGAATGATTTTAGAATGTTGTTTATGTTGTACTTTTGTACTGTTTTATTGTTGTTAGCCGCCCTGAGCCCGGCTTCGGCTGGGGAGGGCGGGATATAAATAAAATTATTATTATTATTATTATTATTATTATTATTATTATTATTATTATTATTATCCGCTGCTGCTGCTGTTCACATAAGACAGACTAGGTCACAGGAACAGGGGGCATGGAGCACTGGAGCGTCATAAAGGCATCAAATTCATAATGTAAGTCATAAAGGCATCAAAGAAGTGAGCATTTTAGTCTTGAGTTGCAGACACTGCTTCCTTTCCCAGATGAAGGCATTCCCAATTCTGAGTTTGGCTGCAATGATATACAGTATTCCAGGCTTTCTCAACTTTGGGTCCTCAGATGTTGTTGGACTACAACTCGAATCATCCAGAGCCAGCAGGGGCAGCAGTCAGGGATGATGGGAATGGTAGTCCAACAAGGCCGCTCCACTTCCAGGTGGGGTGGTGTTGCGGACAGGCCATGTGGCCTCCCGCACACAGCGGGGGCTGGGCTAAGCCCCCATGTCATTGGGAAGACCCTGGCTGCGTAACAGCCCCCGGCCAGCCAATCCGGCTGGCCGGGGGTGTGGCTTAGTGCTTTTAAGCAGCCACGCGGCAGGGGGATCTCCCTTCTCGTTCCGGCTTCCGCAGATCTCCCACCCTCCCTTCAAGCATTCGACATATTGGCCTTGCTATGGACTTCGGTTGGTCGCCTGTTGAGGGGGCCTGGTAGGAATTTTTCCACTTGGCAAATTGGCACTGGCAATTTGGTTTTCGTCTACCTCGTAGCAATCGTCACAACTTTTGGAAGGTTTGGCGGTTAGGCATTGGTAAAACCTGGTTCGGGAGAGGGGAGGTGTGGCCCCTCCATTCTAAGGGGATTTTGTTAAAGGGATCTGGGGGCGTGGATCTTGTCCGAAGCCCGGGCAGGGGCTAGGGCCATACCATGACCCCATCGGGGACCCTGGGGGAGCTCTTAGTTGATGTACATCAACAGGGCTCCCCCTATTGGTGGTTGACCCTTACTGGACTACCTGCATGGTTGGCAGGAGTCAGATATAGTCAGTTTAATGCCAATGCCTAATCCAATACCGCTCACATTCTGTAACCAATAAAGTTGTGGCCCAAATTTGCCCATTTACCCTAATATACTGTGTCCAAGTGTTATTATTCAACATAAAGGGAGGCCTCGGGGTCTTGACATCTAGGGACCCAAGGTTGAGAAAGGCTGGTATTCGCACTTACTTGGGGGTAATTCCCATGGAGCAGGCATATAATATATAAGCTTGCACTGTCATTAATTCTATGAAGCAAGGAATAGGGTTAAAGGCCCATCAGGGTGACTCTCCAGAAAAATACAAAACAGGAAGCAAATTAACTTGTGAAACTCAATTTTAATTTTATTTTTGAAGTGTAAATGTCCAATTACAAATAAATAATTCATACAATATAACTCAAGTTATGATAGACACATTTTCAGGCAGTTCAGAATAACAACCAAGATGAATGAATTTACATTAAATAATCAATTAGTACAATGAACAACTGGTCATCCAGTTATGTTTTCAGCTTGGTCTAATATGTGTACAGCCTTTTAAAACAGTTCTCTCTTTTTGCCACTTTAGAAGACAACAAATGCAAACAATTTTCATACAAGCCCAGAAGAACACACACATTACATTTACTTTAAAAATTTCAAAAATTAGTCAAATGGGTGAAGTGGAAGTCTTAAAGCAGGAAGAAAGAAAACCCATCTTGTGGAATTTTTGCAGCCAACAGTTATTTTCTAAGGATTTCTATTCTGCTGAATTTGCTGCATAAATTCTCAAGCATTATAGGCTCAAGGAAGTTTTTTATTTCAACTCTATACATTTTTCTCATCTTTGCTAAAAAGCAAAAGCCCAGAGAACACTTGTAGGCTTCATTTTGAGTTTTAATTGCACACTGCTTTTAGCTTTAACTTCAGCGAATTATTTTACTGCTAAAAAGACAGCTTCCCCTTGAGGTAAATAGATGTATTAATTGTAAACTGCAATAGCAGCAGCATCAGTAAAACCACATAAAACGTGTTTCCTGACATAAAAGGGTACAATCACTGCTGCTTTATTCTTTTCTACAGAGTTTGCATGGGGCTCCATCACAAGACCAGGTGAAATGAATGACAGGAAGCAGTGCTTGGGCAATTTCTTTTACATTCATTTCCACATGAAGCTTTGCTTCTCCTTGTTCAAGGATACATGCAGTATCTGGGGCAAAATGTATTGATTTTTTAAACCCTGACCTTTTTAAAAAAAAAAAGTGGCACTTTTACAGTTCATTCTGTTTCCCCATAGTTCCTATCTTGAATGACTATGGACCTCTTCCCACATCTGCAGTCCTGTGGAAATCACATTCTTGTGGCTTGAACCTTTGTGGTTTTAAGCTGGCAAGATCCACAGGATCACTCACATGCAGGTGGTCACATTATTTACCAGATCCCACATCAATGTGGAATCCTATGGGAAGGTAGATCCCCCTTGGCAGCAGTAAGTCTTAATCACATTTACTGCTGAAATCCATCTTTCAAAACTACATCTCTTCACTGGGACAGGACGCGAATGGTCCCAAATGTTCCTGTGGGTCAAAGCTAAAGTAGCATACAGCTACATAACAATCTCCCTACTATTTTGGAAAATGTGGGGAAGCAGCTATGGGAGCTGTACTCTTAAGCAGAGGGAGGAATTGCTGAACCCTGCCTCACTTGAGCCCATTTCTTTAATTCAGGACTGCTTCACTCAACTGCTTTTCAAATTATCTTTTTGCTGTGTGGGTAGAAAAGTGGTGATAGAGGCAAGCAGAAAACTGCTTGAAGGCCAAAGCTCAAGGACTTCTCCTCTGCAGCTCTTTTCTTTTTCAAAAAGATGTTTACACACATTTGCCATGCAATGTCTCGCAATGGCTTTTTTAAAAATGGCAAGGCTCTTAAGGTTCTGAAGCTACACAACCGCGTTTCCAGGTCTGGTTGCTAAGGAAGGCCTACTGCCTCTGCTCACTTTTACTTCTGGTCCTGCTACAGAGAAGCCACAACGGCATGCAGCCAGAGGGATAAAAGAATGCTCACAGTTCAACAGCCTAGAAGATACTGCAGCACAAACAAGGAAAATAGAAAAGAGACTGCCAAAAAACAAGCTGAAAACAAACCCCAAAAAACCCACTCCTTTAATTTTGGTGATCAAAGACTATTTATGGCCCATAGTCTTTTCACTTTGGTTCTTTGCTTTAGTACCTGAATCTAAAAAAGCATAAAGAACCCTCCAGCATGAAAACCATTCAATGGAAATAATAATAAGCTATTCCATGTAGCCACATGTTAGGCCATTTGGTATCTTCACTGCAAACAATAGCTGTCATATACAACATTTCTCCAATAAAGAGAGCACAGCGATGCTCAGAAAACTAATTTGTGACAATTCTCAGAGATATGTTAGCAATGATTTTAAAAATCCATCAGTTTTAATGACAAGGTTGAGCCCATACAACCAGAAATGTGCCATCTAATGTTTCTAAAAAACAGAGGGCAGTATCTAACGTTTGTCATTCTCAGAGCAGACCCACTGGACTCAATGGACTGATCAGTCTACTGATCTCAATAGAACAATGGATTTAGTTCTGGATTGTGTTACAAATGCTATTCCCACACACTGTTATTAAAGGTGTGTAACGTTTTTAAGCACAATAGAGGAACCAGATAAATGTGAAATTGAGCAATTCAAGATGAAAGAAATATTTTTAACACCCATCTACCTTATTTTTCTCCAAATGAGTTTTCATGGCCAAGGCAACTTAAACACCATAATTTTTAAAATGATATCCAAAGTGATTTCAAAAATTAAAAAAAATGAACTTCAATTGCTCATTTGCAGCTGTGGGATCTTGTATCTTAGCTTAGATCAGGCTGCCCCAACCTTGTGCCTTCCAGGCATTGTTGGACCATGCTGGCCCTGCTGGCTGGGGGGGGGGGGTGATGGGAGTTGTAGTCCAGAAAATCAGGTGACCAGCAGGTTGGGGAAGGCAGATTTAGATAATTCCACCAGCCTATTTCGTTTCATAACATAAAAAGAATAAACCAAATGCAAAGTCCTAATGCATTAATTGAGTTCCCAAGGAATGCAGTAGTATCTTCAATTAGTGAGCCAACTCATTTTAATTATAGAAACCAACCTGACACTTTGCAACAGAACTCCATATATTAGGAGAACATATCACTCTATACACATTCTGTATTTTTTTTCTAATTAAGATGCAATAGTTAATTTGCCTCCCCAATTAAAGCTTTTTAAGAATCTGTGGCCACAGATTTTTTTCAAGTATAGGATGGGCATGATTCAACCAAAATTAAGCATTTGTAAGCTCCATTGTTTTCACTGGGAGAGAAGCAAGCTTTCATTCTCCATCAATGGGTTTTAAAGTGCTTAATGCTGGCCAGATAGTGTCCAAAATCTGAATATCCAATGCCCTACTGCCAAGATATAGGTCCAAGGCCACTGTTTTTGTAATTTGATAGGAAAGAAACCTTTTCAAATTAAAGCCTCTTCCACACATCAGACTTACTCGTGTATGGGAGAGATCAACCGTTGCACCAGCAGATGTGCCCCCCCCCCACATTCCCAGCCCCCAACCTGCTCCAGAGGACCACCCAACCAAGTAGAATTGGGGGGGGCACAGGGGGGCTGTAGGGAAGAGGAGAGGAAGGAGAAATCTCATTTGTGGGATAGCAATTATATTTGTAATATTGCCGGGGGGGGTGGGGTAAGTAGATGAACCAAATATTGAAAGGTTTTCCAGACTGAGATCTTATGTGGCACTTAAAACTTTCTCAACACATCATAATAATCTGGAACTCCAGTTAACCCTCAGATGCCCACACAGAACTGAATCAGCAGGGGCTGCGCCACCACTTCAATGTCAGGCAAAGCACAGCATGCCCATGTCATTGCCTGCACACTGCTTTCCCCAATTCTGCAGTCTGTCCTGTTCTGCTTCTACAGTTATCTGTGCACACACCAGAGCATGTGGACTGGAGCCCAATGGTAGTTCTTATAATGAAGCACACAAAGGAACACACTTTCAAACTGAAGATTTTGGGCACAACAGTGACCAAAAAAAAAAAAATGTGACTCAAGGTTATTATCTCAAATACAGTTAATCTGGAAGAATGTTTTCTTTCGAAACAGCAAATTATATGCCCAAGTAACTTGCGTACAGGAGTAAGGTACCAACAATGAGATCATTAAAGACGACATTTCCATCAGCACCCATGACATTGAGACAGACAATAGTAAACAAATCACCATCAGTACATTTGAAAATGTTCTCCAACAGCACAATCCACCATGAATTTATCTTGTGCAAACTCCCTACACACACACACACGCAATTCAAATCCATTTTGGCTAGGCTTGTGCAGGAGAACGTCGCAATCGACTGTGTTCTTAAAACATTTGGGCTTCAGCTAGACCTGAACTGGACTGTAACTGCTGATTTATACGCACATAATAATAATAAAAAAAGAGAGAAGCAGCCTGAATTGTAAAGCAGATAAAAATCCACACACATAAAAGTCCCATCTTAGTAAAGGACATTGTCAATCAGAATGCAATTCATTTAAAACTGAGTTGTCACTAGTTTTAACAAGTCAATTTCTTTATAAAATGGCCTCAATACATTTTCAAAATTGAACTATGTCTGTTAAACAGATTATTCACAGGTGTCACATCTGCTGTCTTAGAACATACTTCGCATGACTCAAGCCTCATTCACCCTTGTTTTGCAGGAAGGCCTGCTTATATACAGCACTTTGCCATGACCATTTTTCCTTATTTCAGATAAAAATAAAATATATATGTAGGAGGAAATTGTCAGGCACATACTTCAGCTGTTACTTTATAAGTCAGAATATCAGACTATTTCTCTTGCAATTTTATACAAAACAATTGCACAGCAACAAATAATCTGGTGTTCTGGCCAACAATGATTTTCACCTATAAGTCATTTCATTGTACATAATTTCACATTGATACCTCTTTAATATTTAAATATTTACGTAAAAAAAGGCCCCCAAACTAATCATTTTGTATATAGCCAAGTTCTCCCTCTATATATCCAAACTTCAAAAAGTTACGAATGGAAACATTATACAGGATTTATAAATCAGGTTTACAAACTTGAGGCTTCAAAATCAGGTTAGCCCAAAAAGAATATTTAGGAAAATCCACTCACTGACAAGGTAGCAGAAAAAAAAACTAAGGGAGGGAAAAAGGAGACAGACACCAATTTTCTGCCTTAACATTTTACTAATCCTGCCAGTTAAAGACGCTGATATTATCAGAAGAAACAGCATAAGCTGAGAGCGAGTAAAGATGTTTTTAATGTTGGTCCCAAGTGATGAGACATGTGATTCAAGTATTTCCTATTTGATCTGAGCTCACCATAGCAAAGTGGTGCAAGAAAAAAACCATTATTTTATTTTTGTTCCATACATTCGATTAATATCTTCCTGGTAGTGTGCAGTAAGCTCTTTCCGTTTTAGTTTGAAGGCATCTGTCACCAAGCCCGTCTCTGGGGTCCAAGGTTCAGGGCTCAAACGAATTTTGAGTGGGATTTCAAATTTCTCCAGATTAGCTACAACAACAGAGAGAGAAAAAACATCCAATTATACAGTGTATTTCAAAGAGGACAGCACAGAGCTGGGAAAGGGGCAGAAAAAGGTCAACCACAATGATCAAGGAATTGCAGCATCATCCCCTCTGAGGAAAAGCTAAAACATTTTGGGTGTTTAGCTTAGAAGAATGGAAATCACAGAGGTATGGGGTGCAGAAAGTTCTTCCTGCTTTGACAATACTGTACTAAAGTTGGTGTCATCCAATGAAAGAAATGGGCAGCAAATTCAAGGCAGACAAATGAGTTATTTTACACAATGAACCATTAATTTGTGGAATCCCATGCAATGAGATGTGGTGATGGACATGAGCTTAGCGGTCTTCAACAGGAGATTAGTCACATTCATGGAAGATGAGTATGTGAATGGGGAATATGAACAGCAATAGCAGGGAAGAGCTGTTGCCTTAATGCCTTGGTTGTGAACTTCCTGGGAGCATGTGGTTGGCTAGTGTGGGAAACAGGATGTGGGAAAGCAGATGAAGCTCTTCTGTAATTTTTAATTGTTGCTTTTTAAGCAATTCCTCAACAACTAGTGGTGATGAAAACAAATCTAATCTTTTCAAGAAGATCCTATCACTTTTCTGATACCTTTCTTTTATTAACAGTTGTTCTGCATTTTACTTTGCAACTTTGCTTACCTATGTGAGCAGCTTCAGCTATAATCTTCTGTGCTTCTTTTTCCATTTCAGGACTGTTACATATCTCCTCCACAGTTCCTTTAAATCCTTTCTTTCGTGCTAACTCTTTAAGTTCTTTATGGTTTGGCACAACAAATCCAATGACGTAAGACTGGAAACTAAAGAGAGAGAGAGAGAGAGATGCACACCATTTCAGACTGATGCTTATATTTCTTCTTGGCTTTATGCAACTTTTCATATTTTACTATACAGTGGTACCTCAGGTTACGTTTACTTCAGGTTACAAACGCTTCAGGTTACATACTCCGCTAACCCAGAAATAGTGCTTCAGGTTAAGAACTTTGCTTCAGGATAAGAACAGAAATCGTGCTCTGGCAGGCCGGCGGCAGCAGGAGGCCCCATTAGCTAAAGTGGTGCTTCAGGTTAAGAACAGTTTCAGGTTAAGAATGGACCTCCGGAACGAATTAAGTACTTAACCCGAGGTACCACTGTACATGGATCACATTTTTTCCTAAACTTATGCCCAAGTATAGAGTGGAGCACATGTTACTTTTGCCAAAGAGTTACTATTGCAGTGTGCACCCAACAGCAAGTTTACACTGTAAAGCCATCGTACCAGACTTGCTCAGACAGAATACCAAAACCATGGTTTGACATTACAGGAACAAACCTTTAAAGACCCTCAGCAATAGAGCCCCTGGGAAACCAAATGAGCAGGAAATACTTTTTTTCAGGCAAGGAGACAATTGTTAAATTTTAAAAGGGTAAAGGGGCCCCCTGATCATTAGGTCCAGTCGTGACCGACTATGGGGTTGCGGCACTCATCTCGCTTTATTGGCCAAGGGAGCCGGCGTACAGCATGTGGCCAGCATGACTAAGCCGCTTCTGGCGAACCAGAGCAGCGCATGGAAATGCCGTTTACCTTCCCACCGGAGCGGTATCTATTTATCTACTTGCACTTTGAGGTGCTTTCGAACTGCTAGGTTGGCAGGATGTTAAATCTTACTGATTAGTTAAATCTTGTTTGTTAAGTGTCACTAGGAGTTGATGGGGAAGAATGAAGATTTGCAACTGCACTTTCCACAGCACACACTAGATTAAAATGAACAAAAGCAAAACACCTCTGTCAGGCAAAAAGCTATTTCCTACTCTTTTCATTTGCTCGGTACCCTTCCTCCTTCCTAGGAGATCAGGGAAAGGCAATGGGTGAGCCTGGGCTTGAAGACACTCCATTTCTCCTTGCCCGATAGGACAAGATGTGGGAAGGAGAGCTTCAGGATTCCAGTATCTGCTTCCAGTGTGAACAGCTGCAACATGTAGCCAAGATCTAAGCTTATGGGAGTTCTGTAAACCAATTCAGCAGTTGGTCTTGGGACAAAAACCTATTAGCAGTTCCCTTCAAAGACAATTAAATATGGATGTTTTTGGACAGTAACTCACAGCTAGCTTTAATTTTTCTTCTTCTTTGCCATTGATTCACCAGCTGGTGATGAATGGATCAGAAGGAATTTATTCTCCTATCAAGTCTATGCAAATTCAAAAGGGCATGTGATAACTTTTCAGCTAAAGGCATATAAAAGTTTCTAGATGCAAACACTGCTCTAGCACAAACACATGATTACATAGGCTGTCTTACCTGCTCGCATATACACAAATATTATCTATCAGTGGAAGATTCTTCAAAGCAGCTTCAACTTTACCGAGAGAAACATATTCTCCCGCTTGAAGTTTTACAAGGTCTTTTTTCCGATCTATAAAAAGGGGAAATAAAATGAATGTGATATTCATTAAAAGTTCAGAATACATTAAACACAGGTGTACAGGAGGAGATTCACTGCAGACGTGGAGTTTCTTTTATTTACTTAACAGATTTCTATTCTGCCTTTTGTGAACCACACTCCACAAAGCAGCTCACAAAGATATACAAAACCATCCAAATCCTATACAATATGAAACCATTTAAGATATCCATTTCCTAACACCAAAAGCCTAATCATCAATATAATAGTAAAAACTAAAATACAGTAATGAAGCGAAGGTCTTCAGGACCAGCTTAACAGAATTCCATAATCACTCCCTCTTCAGGGAAATCTGAGATGTAATGATCTAGACAGGATTTCTGTGGCTAACTTCTGCTAATGTGCTTAGCCCTTCAAGAGATCAATCACGGGTTAGACTTTTTAAAAAAAATGATCTTGCATTATACCTTTTGTCTAGTGACTTCATAAAGTCCCACAACATGTATTTAAATCTTGAACATGTTCATATAAATCATAGAAAAACCATGTTCGTGGCATGAAATGGTATTTCTGCAATAGTCTAGCTCAGTCAAGTATTACAGGATTAACTCACCAATAATTTTTAGACAACCATCTGCATGGAATTCCCCAATGTCACCAGTGTAGAGCCACCTCTGTCCATTCTCATCCACCATGAAATCACTTCGGGTCCGTTCTTCATTTTTGTAGTAGCCCATAGTTATGTTCTGACCTCCAATAACAATCTCGCCTCTAGGATATGGTTTGTCTGTGTTAAAGTATCCACCTATAATATAAATTTCATGAAGTGGGAGTGTTAATGTATAAATATGTACCGTATATATTTTTAAAATACAGAGTAGCCACATTCCAAAATATGTTATGCTATGTTTCAAGGCAACATAAACTTGAAAACCGTAAGCAATAATACCTCAGAATGTTACAATGCCCAAACCACTGAGGATGTGCAGAGGAAGAGAACTTTGGGTGGAATTCACTGTTGCACTGTGATGAATGTTCTAACAGCGCAAGTATTACAGTATGCCAGATAGAACAATCCCCCTTTCCTCCCTTGTGTGCTGTTCTGGGGTGTCTCCTGAACCCAGACAAGCCAATTTCAGGGAGCACAGGATGTGAATGAATCAATTTGAACTTCAAAAGCTGTCTAGAGATATAATTAGTTGACTGTGCAGCTTATTTAGATATCAGATGAAATGATATGCCACTTCAGACATACTTAGCAAAATGGAAAAGGATATATGATGCAATGGGGCAAAACATGTGCTCTTCCAATATGCAGATTACTTTTCTCAACACAGAGGTTACTATGTGCAGTGGCCCTGAAAGCAATGCCTAAGAACAAGATTTTGAGCCCAAGTCTTCCACATCTGAATCCAAACAATCCACTCTAACACACAGCTGTTAGGGTGCCAGTTTTATAGACCTAGTTGTCTACATTTATCTCATTAACAATGACTCACAGTTTCCATCATGAGGCTCAAAGTAAGCAGGGAAACAAATCAAATGCAGTTTACACTGAACTTTAGTGAATCCAGCATTTTGAAGCATTGCAAGTCCTTGTGTATGTTTCTCTTCGTTAATATTTCTTTATCTAGCAGACTTTATGATATAATTTAAAAGAGAAACGAAAATATATAGTGCTTGGATTATTTCTCCAGACTGCTGAAAATAGAACAAATACGCTGAAAATATTGCTGATCTTCTTGCGCTTTCTTTTAAGAATATTTATTCCAACATTTCTGTGCACAACACGACAGGTGATTTATTGAAAAATTGACACAAGATGTTCAGCTAGAAAACCAATGTATCATTTCTTCCCAGCGTGAATTCAGGATTATGGAATGCATCCATACTCATAGGGGAAGACTAGCAGTATCTAGCTACAGAAATATATAAAAATAATAATATTAATTGTCCAGTAGCACCTTAGAGACCAACTAAGAAGTTTGCATACCACAATAAAGCTTATACCAAGCACAAACTTTGTTGGTCTCTAAGGTGCTACTGGACAATTTTATTTTTTATATATATATATATTTCTACTGCGTCAGACCAACACGGCTACCTACCAGTATCTAGCTATGTGTGGGCAACTTAAGGGGGAATTCTATGGAGACTTAAAACACTTCACACCTGGGAGAGAGGCAGCAGTACAATATTGTGCAGAAGAGATCATAGCAAGAGATCATAAGTTTGCAGCCTTAGGAAATGTAATTAGAGACAGGGGGAAAGGATGGTGTTTAACCCTTTGTTCTTTTTGCTCAATGAACTGACTAAGCTGTCTCTCCACCGACTACTACTTTTTGAGATGTCATTGAGAAGACACAAAGAAAACCTTGTGCTAATTGATAAAGTGCACCCCCGGAGGTTTAAAGGGAAGGGTGAGCTGAGCAGATGGGTTTTAGCTAAGAACTCTCTTTCCTCAGATGGCATGGAACCCAGATCATGGGTGGTATTCAGCTGGCAAGTGAGGCTAGAGGAAAACAAGCAACCTGCCTCTTGACCTCAAGCTTTTCACTGTGGAACATAAGGCATGGAAGAATGTGTGGCAGAGAGGACCTGCGTTTGGGGTACTATGCTCCTAACACATGTTCTCCCAAGCTGAATTTTCTCTCTCAGAGACGTCGCTGTTTCCTCCCCTCCACCTGTTGCTAAGAGTTTCAGTGGGCTTATTCACAGTCTTGGAAATAGTCAAAGGAAAAGGATCATTAAATGTCCATCTCCAACCCAAATCAGGTGCCACTGGCTGTTTTTAAAGCTAATGGGGGGAAATATCATCATGGGAAAGCTGATAAATGATCTCTGATGTTAGGGCTAGTTCTGCTCTCATAGGTAGATTATGAAATATCGGAGGGTGTTGCTTTTAGTCCAGCCACCAGCAAGCCAGCCTTTGGAAGCATGTTAATAAAGAGCTCACTGGATCACTGCCACATTATTCTATTTAAACAAAATGTTTCAGTCAGTCTTCAAACAAAAGGATAATAAAGATAATAAACATTGAATAAAGAACTTCCCACCTTCTACCCAATTCATGAGCCTGATTTCACAGCAAACCAAGGGTGCTCCCACTCTGCCTGTGGCATAGTCCCAAACTGAAATTTTGGGAAATAAAACATCATTAGGAATTCAAGAGGTACAGCTTAGAAACCATCTAAATATTTCTTTGAATACCCCATGCACCATTTGTTTTTATTTATTTAATAGAATTTGTATACCACTTAAATCATAAAAATCTCTAAACTAGACATTAATAATTGTCAATAAAAGTGTAAAAACAAGCTGACCTAAAAGACTGACAAATCAGCAGTTAAAAAATACTTTATTACAGAAGAAAATTCCATATTAAAATACATGTCAAATTTACAGAGAGGTTTTGGAGTAAAGTACTATGACTTTACTGGTAACACCTAACTATATCTCTACACCTGGATTGGCACCTCAGCCTAAACCCGCCACTTACCTTCTGTTATCGTTCCAGCCCCAGAGGATTCTGTTAGTCCATAGCCCTGTCCCACTGGGCAACAGAAACAGATGTTCATGAATCTCTGAGTTGCTGCAGAAAGTGGAGCTCCTCCACACAACAAGACCCGAATCTTCCCACCCAGCAGCATCCGGACTTTCCGGAAAATAAGTCTAAAAAGGTTAAGAGCATGTTTTTATTGCTCAATAAAAATAATATCAATAATAAAGAAGACACGGAAATCACTGCACATAGCAAGTTCTGCAACATATATGGCACAATTTATGTGGAAACTGTTCGATTTTGTATACTTTTTGATGTGTTTTGCTTATTATTTATAGCTACTCCTGTAGTTAGCCACTTTGAGCATGGTTTTTCTATGGAAAGGAATCATATTTTTAAAAAATGAATTCTATGCATGCTTATGGAGAAGCAAGTCCCACTGATTTTAATGGGAATTACCGTACTTCCTACAAAGTATGTGTAAGTTTATAAACAAAGGTAGATGAGAGGGAGTACAAAGCGGGCAATACAGACTAGGCAACTGAGTAATATAAATGTTTCTTTCTTTCTTTTAAATACCTTACTATTTTTACTATTTAAATTTGAATGCTGCTTTCCCACATAAATATGCCCAAAGACGCTCAGAAAACAACGGCAATACTCTTCAATTTATTTCCAGGCTCAATTCCAAGTACTGGTTTTGATCATTAATTAAGGTACCTATCCTCCCATCCAGACTACCAGATTTGTGTATTGCTACCTAGCCCTGTCTTCTAATAGCCAGCAAAAGTGTCCTGGTTCCGTGACAGATTCAGCCATGCAGGCCGCTCTTCATCCGTCCATCTCCCCGAGTAAAATCTTCACCCCTTAAGGGGAAAAACACACACACCACTCCCTCAGTTACCTACCTGTCACACAATGGAGTAGTGTAGCCTTTTGAAATCTGTTCCATCTTGTAATTATAAGCCAATATAAACAGATTACGTTGGAAATTGGACATTTCATTAACTCGATTCATGACATTTTTGTAGATTCGATCCATGATTTCCTAGTTACAGAAATAAATTAGGCATATCAAAGCAAGCCAACAACAGGCGATAAATTTCGATTTACTGCACAGGTCTCTGAGGCCATTAGTATTAGAGAGCATTAGAGGGGGCAGGCCAAATTTGACAGGTGGGCTTTGGTTTTCAGGAGTTCAAAGAGCAGTGTAGGGCTTCTTGAAAGCCCTTTGCAAACAGCTCCACGTAGCTCCTGAAACCTCCTAAAACAGGGCCATAAGGAGCAGTGCCATGCTGTTTACAAAGGGCTGTTTGAAAGCCCTTTCCCTAACCATTCTGCACTGCTTCCGAAGTCTTCAGAGGTTTGAGGAGCCGCACAGAGGTTTTAAAGAGCAGTGTAGGACTGTTTGGGAAAGGGCTTTCAAACAGTGCAACACTTTAACAGCCAGCTTTTGGAGGTTCAAAGAGCAGCACTGGGAGAGAGAAGTTGTTTCAACTGAATGGAAACAGCTTCCCCCACCTTCAGCAAGGTGTGCTCTCACCACCCATCAGCTCCAGAAAAATAACAATCCAGAGCTCACTTTAAGCTCCCAACTGTTCCTCTGAAGCCCCATCCTTACCAACATCATGGACAACTTCAGGTCTAGAGTGAGTGGACATGGCTTCCTAAAAAATGGCCTGGTGGGACAAATGGGGAGGCCTAGCATGTCAAGTTTTGCCTGTGGGCCAGCAGTTCCCCACCCTTGATACACAGCATGAACCATAACAGAAAGCTTGGCATAAAACAACTTCAAACGTTAACCGTTTTCCCCTCAAATCTATCCACTCATACCACTTTTTGGGGGGCTGCACTGAGGAGAGAGGAAGAAAATAAGCTTTAATCCACTTGTAATTGTCAGGATACATGTCATAGTAAATATTAATACTATGTTTTAAGCAACTTATTAATAATATAAATTGGCAGGATTAGTTTTATCATTGATGTTTATTGAAAACATGAATTCACCCAACCATAGTGGAATGAAGGATTACATGGGAACCGCTTAAGTGGGCAGTAGAGAAAATCCTAAGGTACTAACTAAGCTACCTTCAAATCATCATCTCATCATATGTAACTCTTGAAAAAGGCAGGCTTCAAATGCACAACTTACCGGCACAGCTGCCATTAGAGTTGGCTTCAGTGCAGAAACATCACCTTTACTTCCTTTCTTTATTTTAGAGGACTAAAAGAGAAGTGAAGAAAGCAACATGTAACCTTAAGTTAGTCTTCATCAAAAATCCTCTTGTTTGCCCGGCATAAAAGATGCACACACTGAAAAAAAATCATGTTTCACCATAGCGCTGGGTCAGAAAGCATCTACGACATATTTTCGTCAGAGATATTGAAACAGATACCCTTTTAAGTAGACAAATACTTAATTTCACATATATTTTAGACAAGTTTAAAAATGCGTAATTTGATACTATGGTCCAAGGTTGTTTTCAGTGGGTAGTTGGACACAAAATGTTGTGTGTACAGTTGGAAAGTAGATGATGCAGATTTTGAAAAAAGGGGGTGAGGAATTAGTCACGTTATGCTTGTGTTAAGAACTTACATGCCAGGCAGTATCAGGGCAGAATGTGCACTAATTATAAGGGTAAAATGCACTCCGTTTCCATGCTTAAAACAAATTGCCCAAACCATACAAAGAACCTTCTTTTAGGACAGAAACATCACTTATTTACCTTCATCTTTGGGCAGGCAACCCTTTCTTGTAAATACCCTTAAATGTGCTTTTTTTGTGTGTCTCTGCTGAACTGAGGCAGATTCATAAATGAATCAGAACTACTGACTCCCATGAAGAAGCCACCATTGATACAAGGTCTAAGCCAAGCAGACTGTGTGCTTGTTCAGCTTTTCCCCCTTTTAGTGTGGGGTGTCAGATGGGGAATTTGTGTAGTAGAAAAATGTGCTTTTAAAAACTGTGCTATGGTCTGATTTGTTTGGAAGTGGGAGAACCTTACCTGATCACTTAATGTTTGAGGTGATGAGTAGCCAATACGGCATCCGTGAGTCAAGCAAACAAGTTCAGCACTTAACTCCAAAACATGAGCAAGTGGCAAGTATCCAATGTAAGTATCTTTCTCTCTAGGGGAATAAGAGAGAGATTACGGTAAACTCTGTGCCAAGTTGTGTCAACCCACTGCTTGAGACTGCAGCAGCAGCATAATCTAAAGAGCATCCTGGCACAACAACTTTGCAATGCTGGCATATTGTCATATTTAAACAAGAGCAAGCCGAATTATACGTTCTCCTCATGCATGTGGTTAAGCATTCTGGCAGCACGATTTACCAGAAGAAAGACTACTAACCATTCTTTTTCTTAAATCAGTCAGAACATTTCACCTCCATAATTAATTAGTTCAGTATTAATGGAAAATGCAGCACCATGGGGGGGGACGGGACCTCTGGTCCACAAGGTCTCCTCATTTGGCCTGTGAGGCAATTTTGGCCAAGTCACACACTCACCTGCCCTAGCCCCAAGTCATAGGACATCAGTTGTCAGGGAAGGTAAATACAGGGCTAAGTCAAAAGGGAGGTTGCAGGCACTGGTACTGCGACTTTTCTGGCGTGGTTTCATTTCAAAAACTGCTTGGCCAAAAACAAGTCACTTGATGTTACTGCAATTTCAGGTATTGGCAAGTAGACACCCCCACCCATTTGACAATGGATGGGTGTCTCTGCAGCATATTTAAGCTTCAACTATCAAAGGGTAAACAAAGCTACAGGAAAGCCCTTGTTCCAAATAGCTTTGAGGTTTCAATAATCATGTTTGTCTTTGCAAAATACAATCACACTAGTGCAAAAAGGTCTGGGGTTTTTTGTGATTTATCATTCCTGACAATCTATTTGTACTGAAAATGGTACTCTTGCCAGACTTGCAAAACAGTCACAGAACTTCTCTTTTCTGAATATCCAATACTAAAGAACATAAACCAGAACAATTTGACCACATATATTCGAACATTTTAGGTGAGCATGAAGAGCTCTTACAGTAGGGGTTCTTTTTGTGCAACAGAAGTTTAATTATTTCTCTAAGGACCTAAACAACATATACCCTAATGTGTTCATTTCAATAATTTCAGTGATAAAGCGATAAAAGTGTCATTTAGGATTACGTGTGTTACACACCCAAGATTAGGAATCCTTTCAGCCATCCCAGTTATACCAGAAATAAGATTACAATGCGAGATCATAACGCCTTTTGGGACACCTGTAGAACCACTGGTATACATTATTACTGCAATGTCCGACGGCAACGGTCTCTGCTTCTGCTTGTTGGCTGGAACTTAAACAAAAAAGAAGCAAGCGTCAAAACAATTTGAAAGAAAGCAAAATTGAAAGATTCTGAAAATCTAAAATATTGACTACTAAGTTATTCTTGTTGTAAACCTTAATGTGTTCTACATTTTTATATGTCACCATTTTAAGCCAATGAGTGAAGTCGGGGCTGTGACTGATAAGTGGACACTAGGGAACAGGAACCCTGAGAGTCCTAAAGTGCTGCTGTTTCCCGCTACCCTACAATACACTTTTCCTGCTTCCATCTTATTTTCTAGTAGTCCCTGGAATCTTCGTTTGCCCTTCATGTTTTACTAGCAACCAGGATGCATCTTTCCACTGGTAGGTTCACCTGATATCAGGTATTCCTTAGAAGTTATTTTCTTTAAAAAATACTGCTACACAAACTCTGTATCCTGATTAAACAAACATACGCTAAAAATAATAAGTTATCAACACAACACCCATCCACCATATACCCTGGGCAGAATATAACTGGCAAGATATTAACCACATTTAGCATTATCATGTCATAGATTTCCTTCACAGTTTTCAAGAAAATACTATCATTAGGAAAAAGGAAAAGGTATACGTACAGTTTTCTGTTTTCTCTCCCATAGCTTGAACAGATGCCATCGTGTGAACGATTACCCCTTTGGGGAATTCTGACCATGTTGTTGGTGTGCCATCCACAGTAATAATATGGCGCATCAGAGGAATCCGAGAAGCAATACTCTGCAGAAAAAGATGGGGCAAACAGTTTAATTGTTTCCATCATAATAATCATAATGCCCTACATTTGCAGTTCTATACTTTAATAGTTCAACCTGCTGTAAATAGAGCGCATTCAAAAAAGCTAATTTGATGTCATCTAAGCTGCTAGGTGGGGATGCAGGTGGCGCTGTGGGTTAAACCACAGAGCCTAGGACTTGCCGATCAGAAGGTTGGTGGTTCGAATCCCCGTGATGGGGTGAGCTCCCATTGCTCAGTCCCACTCCTGCCAACCTAGCAGTTTGAAAGCAAGTCAAAGTGCAAGTAGATAAATAGGTACCGCTCTGGAGGGAAGGTAAACGGCGTTTCCGTGCGCTGCTCTGGTTCGCCAGAAGCGGCTTAGTCATGCTGGCCACATGAGCCGGAAGCTGTACGCCGGCTCCCTCGGCCAATAAAGCGAGATGAGCGCCACAACCCCAGAGTCAGTCATGACTGGACCTAATGGTCAGGGGTCCCTTTACCTTTACCTTAAGCTGCTAACAGTGCTAATATATTTTTAAGGTATATTCTTTCAGTCGTAACTTGTTTTAACCCTATTCTTTTGGTTGCAAATTGTTTTAACCAATTTTAAGATTTAATTTTCACATTTTAACTAGTCCTGGAACCTTATGGTGAAGGGTGGGTAAAAAGAGGGCAAGTTGATTAATTACTATTTACTACCACAACCAGCCAGTTGTGAAATTTCAATATGTTTGGAATAAACAGTATCAATGTAATTTATAACAATTCTTGCTGACACTAAAAACGGTGTGCATTAAAGTTCTAATGATGAACTTAAAAAGGCACAGCTTTTCTCAGCTGCCCATTTCGCTTGTCATTTCCCCTCAGAATTCTTCTCCATATATCCTTTCTTCTTCTTCTTCTTCTTCTTCTTCTTCTTCTTCTTCTTCTTCTTCTGTCCACTCCTTCCTCTAGCCATCTTATCTTTTGGTTCCCTGGCTCTGCTGCTACAAATACTTTTAGTGAATTATAATATAGATTACACTTGGAGACATATGGTCCCCAAAGTGCTTTTATTGTTACACTGTGAGTCAAGATGTTGGCCTATGAAGCCAATGCTCAAAAACAGGATATTTAACAAACCCTTTTATGGAAAGAAACTTCAGATCTGCGATGATTTTTCCATGCTTCGTTCAATTAGAAGCAAACAGAGAGCAACCCATCACGTCTTGACAAGTTTGCTGGCTCTCCCCCCGCCCTGCCCCCCCCCCCGCAAATCTTGTTAAAATTGTTTAGGCCGTATTATTGGCTAACTGAAAAATTGCCCACATTCCCTGAAGTGTGTGTCAGTGTCAGAGGACTATCTAGTACAGTGGTACCTCTAGTTGCGTTCACCTCTGGTTACGTATCCTTCAGGATCAGACTCCTTCGTGATACGTACACGGCAAATCCAGAAGTATTTTTCCGGGTTTTGCAGTGCGCATGCGCAGAAGCACTGAACTGCACCACGCGCATGCGCAGAAGTGGGACCTCCAGTTGCAAATTCCTCAGGATTTGGCCGGAGCTCCGGAACGGATCCCGTTCACAACCAGAAGTACCACTGTATTGAGTTAAGCACCATTATGGGGATGGGGATCACAGTCCTTTTTTAAATGGAAACTATAGGTGCATCCAAATCATTTACACTTCCGTAATCTTCTGTTACATAAGAACATAAATCTGTAGAGCAAGAGAAAAAACCTGCACTATATGTATATCACATTTTCCTCTATAGAACTGAATAAACAAATGAACAAAATCCACATTTGGATCCGCATCCAATTTATGTAGTCAAGAACAATCCTTACCTTCAGTTTTGTTTGCATCAATTCTCTGCTGGTAATAATGGTTGTCACTGCAGTTTCATTTAACCCATGTACTATCGCAGGGCCTCCTAGTGTGGCATAAAGTGTAACAACTGGGGAGGAAATGAATAATGAATTTCCTATTATTATTATTAATTATTATTATTAGACTCATATACTATAAATGTCCAGGATACAAAAGAGACACTACATGCTGAAATCGTCTCAGTACACTGCTGCTTCAAATTCGAGATTTCAAACTTTGAGAAACATAAAATGCAAATGTACTTTGGTTTCACTATGCATATTTGTACTCTGAAGAATGGCAATCTTATTTTCCAAGCCACACTAGCAGGATCCCTCTTCTTTTCTTTACAGAAGAGGTAATGTGACTTTTTAGTTCTACACCACACTCTCAACACAATATGAGAGAGCAGAGCACAGAAAGGACTTCCACCTTAGATACTTCCCAAACATATTATCAAAGGATCATAAAACTGTAGAGTTGGGAAGGACCACGAGGGGCATCTTTTCCAACCCCCTACAATGCAGGATTCTTTTGCCCAATGTGGGGCTTGAACCCAGGACCCTGAAATTAAGACTCTCACGTTTTACCAACTGAGTTATCCCAGTGAAGTAATATTTTAATGCACCGTATTTTTCGCTCTATAAGACGCACCAAACCACAAGACGCACCGAGTTTTTGGAGGAGGAAAACAAGAAAAAAAATATTCTGAATCTCAGAAGCCAGAAGAGCAAAAGGGATCACTGCGCAGTGAAAGCAGCAATCCTTCTTGCTGTTCTGGCTCCTGGGATAGCTGTGCAGCCTGCATTCGCCCCATAAGACGCACACACATTTCCCCTTACTTTTTAGGAGGGAAAAAGTGAGTCATAGAGCAAAAAATATGGTAATTACTTTAAGACAGGGGTCAGCAAACTAAGGTCCGCAGGCCATATCAGGTCCATTTGCCTTCAAGATCCGGCCTGCGGACTGTCCGTGGATTGGCATGGAGATTCTGTTCATTCGGGCTGTGCCGTTGTTTTTTTGTGCCATTCCATTCCCCCCCCCTCCTCACACACACCGCGGCAGCGGCGCCTCCCTCCCTCCTCCTGGCTTCTCCCCGCCCTGCCTAGAGGAGAAAGGGGGCTGGGCTGAGCTGGCTGAGCGCCATTTTAAGCAGTCCAGAGCCAGCCCTTTCGCACCACTCATCTTCCGCCGCCGCCCTGGTGCTCCTGTGGGCCAGAGAGCAGAGCAGACAAGCTCACTCTGCCTACCCATGAGAAGCGGCAGCAGCTGCTTCTCCTGTCCGCCACAAGATCTGAGGGACAGTGCCCGCGGCTAAAAAATTTTTGCCAACCCCTGCTTTAAGAGTTAATTCGGGCATGCAATTATTCTCCAAACAAACTTGAAAAGCAAGTAACATTGGCCACAAATATAATTGTATATAAGTTATTGTGATGTAGCAAAATTTGGTTTTGCAGTGGCAAAAGGAGTATCTAATATTTGCAGAGATATGGCAACTCTGATCACCTGCTTGGGGACTTTGGTTTCAGCTAGTCTCCTCAGCACTGAGAAAACAGATGGTGGCTTTATTATCTTGGCAGGAAAGGACCTCATGCATAAAACTCTGTATGCAACTCACTGCTGTGCACAAGGATCTGGATCAATTCGGGAATTCTACAAATGCTTTACAGACATCAGAGCTGTGTATCTACACTGCTCACTTGAAAGCAAGTTCTGCTATAACATCCTATTATTGTGCAAAGTGCTTTAAAAAGCAGCCTCTGCCATTTTTCTGACCCCAACCGTAGCTATGCTATGTAATGCCAGCCATCTCATCATTCTGGTCCTATGCATGGAGTGTTTCTGTGTCAGTGTCAGCCACTTCCCAGAAGCCATAGCAGTAGCCTGGGAATTCTCAGTGTCAGAATGAAAGCCTGGGCTTGGCAGAAGTACATTAACACAACAAAACGGTTGCCAGCAGTCTCAGCTTAAAGCTGTAACATGCACATCAGTTCATACATCTCAGCGAACATGTTTAAGATGTCTATTTATATACATAAACAGCAATTAACCTATACGGTATGGGATTGTAAAGTGCTTTTTAAAAGATATGCACACATATTTGCTGCGAAATAATTTGCTATTGCTTGTTTGTGGATTTTGAAGTGTGCATTTGCACCTGAAAAACAGCCTTGTATGTTGAGAAATCAAAAGCATGTAGTGTAATCCTAAACAAAGTTCAACAGGACATTTCATCAGGAAAGTGTACTGTAGAATTGCAGCCTTATACTCAGATACAAGGTCCTGAAATTGATAGTCTCAGGCATACAATTCAGCTATTAGTTGCAATGTAGTTCTTTGGAGTCACTGGTTACAACAAAAACCATTTTCCTTGATTCAAAAATCTGAATGGTTGCCATGAGGGTATTTAACAAGGAACACAATTCCAAACTGTTGCAAAGCAAGTACACATGTACATTGTTTTCTTTAATTTGGTGGGAGCAAAGTACAAAAGATTGCCTTTATTAGTTCCCATGTGCTCTCTGTGCTCAGTCCAATGACCCTCATTATATAAACACAAGATTTCCCTAGCAGGCTCTCAGCAAGCCGAGGAAGAAAGAGTATAATCTCTCAAAAAACCATTGATATTATTCACCTAAAAACTGGAGGGGGAAGGGGGGGGGAGATGAACGAAGTGAAAAACAATTAGGCAGCTAATGAAGTCAAGAAGCTTGTCCAGTTTACAAAATGCTGCACTGATGTCATGGAGAAAGAGATGAAGTGAGCCACAGCAGCTGCAAGTGATTATCGTGCAGCCTGATCCGCCGAGTTGCCACTTAACACTGTGTATAGCACTTCTTCATGCACAAATAAAATCTGATTAAAAATTATAGTGTTACAAACTGTAAAGTAAAAGCCGCCAGGTGTAGATTTGTTACTTTCTAGCAATGACAAAGCAGAAAAAGCTTTCCAAGACAATTCTTGTTATGGAGCTATTCTCAAATACTTACACTTAAAGAAATTGATTCTGGAAGGGGGGGGCTAATTTAAGGGACATGCTCTACTGTTTGTCCCATTGGACTGTGAACAATGTTCATTCACTTATCTCCAAGGAATAAAATATTATCAAGAACAAAAATCAGGGCAGTTTTGGCTAAATATGCACATAAGTTACCATAACAATCAGGCAGAAAAATCCTTTAAAATAACAGTAAATTTTAAAATGCAGTTAGTAGATGGAGGGGACATGTGCCACAGAAGAATGAAGATTTTAAAAAATAAGCACAGTTAGATCAGGCCCATTCAGGAAGAGCAGTGCTTGGCCAAATCTAGATTAGCAAACATATTTCCTTGAAACATTAAACAAAATTTAATTCGTTGCGTTTCACTGCCAGCAACTCAAGTTTCAGAAATGACTACGTGAAAAGCATATGACAATATTACCATCTGCCAGCAAGCAAGTCAGCCAAGTTCATTCATTTGACATCACCAAATGCTGTGTCACGCTGTGAGCTGAAGCACGTCTCAGAAACTTGAAACATCCACTTAAATCCCCACCATCTCCCTTCCTACCAACCCCCCTTTCAAATGCAAATTTCTTGATTCCACACATTTCAGCATTTCCCTACATTTTCACATTACCTTAAACTGACCCTTTGGAAAGTTAAAAGTTTTATAAAGGTCTATGTGGAACTTGCCACAGAATTGCAGTATTTCTGATGGTGCTATCTATCTATCTATCTATCTATCTATCTATCTATCTATCTATCTATCCAGCTTTTGGGTACTTTCATAGAATCATAGAATCATAAAGGGCCATCGAGTCCAACCCCCTGCCAAGCAGGAAACACCATCAGAGCACTCCTGACATATGGTTGTCAAGCCTCTGCTTAAAGACCTCCAAAGAAGGAGACTCCACCACACTCCTTGGCAGCAAATTCCACTGTTGAACAGCTCTTACTGTCAGGAAGTTCTTCCTAATGTTTAGGTGGAATCTTCTTTCTTGTAGTTTGGATCCATTGCTCGGTGTCCACTTCTCTGGAGCAGCAGAAAACAACCTTTCTCCCTCCTCTATGTGACATCCTTTTATATATTTGAACATGGCTATCATATCACCCCTTAACCTCCTCTTCTCCAGGCTAAACATGCCCAGCTCCCTTAGCCGTTCCTCATAAGGCATCCTTTCCAGGCCTTTGACCATTTTGGTTGCCCTCCTCTGGACACGTTCCAGTTTGTCAGTGTCCTTCTTGAACTGTGGTGCCCAGAACTGGACACAGTACTCCAGGTGAGGTCTGACCAGAGCAGAATACAGTGGCACTATTACTTCCCTTGATCTAGATGCTATACTCCTATTGATGCAGCCCAGAATTGCATTGGCTTTTTTAGCTGCCGCATCACACTGTTGGCTCATGTCAAGTTTGTGGTCAACCAAGACTCCTAGATCCTTTAACTCTCCTTATTTATTTTTTAAGACAAACAGCGGTGGGGGGGGGGAATTATCCATAATGCTGCCTTCCAGTGTAATTTTTTTCTTTGCAGCAGTGTTTTCCACAATGCCCCCTGCAGGCAAGTACTGAGCTAGTTCAGATGTCACGCCAAATTATGAACGATGGCTTTGTGACTATGAGCTTTATTACCACACCACAATTCTGATTATCTCTCTTAGCTCCAAGGTGTCAACAAACAATAATTTGCGATTTCACCCAAACCAAGGCAAACCATAATTTGTGTACATACACCATAGAACCAAAGTAGATATTACTTGTGTTGATACTTAAGTCTCTATTGATTCACAATAAGGATTTGCAAATGTGATGTGGATAGCTGTTGTTTTGAATTACTGAGTGTTTGACAAGGGAGAGAATGCACTGGAAATGCATTATGTACTGTATTTTTGTACAGTATTACAGGGTTACAAGCAGCTATAAAATGGAGTATAGGAGCATTTCCATTACTTTCATAAACATATTCCAAGAGGTCTGAGGATATTGTGCATGCCCCATGTGCTCCACAGATCGCTGGAGGAGGGAACTGAACTCTACATAACTATGACAGGCATGGCCAGGTAAAGGCATACTGGTGAACAAGGCGGTTATGGAGGAGGAACTTACCATGGAACCACAGAGATGAACATGGAGGGAAGGAAGATGCAGAGCAGAAGCAGCCAAGTCAGCTAGTAGTTATCAGATCATATTTGACTCAGCTAGCTTTCTAGTTGTGATTCTGTCTATTAAAATAATTGAGATTCCTAACTGCAGGGGGTTGGATTAGCTGACACTCAGGGTTCCTTGCAACTCCAATATTTGTGATTCATGGAAATCCCATATGCTTGATTGCCAGAATGATTTAATAATCAAGGTGGATGAAGCAAGTCACAGATAGCAGAGAACTGTTGGCTCTGAAACTAAATGCAGAATACGACTGCGAGTGAGTAAAATCCTTTTTTTCTAGGAAATGTTTACAGTTAAGAGGGTTGAAGTTTTTATTGTTGTAAAAGATATCGGATACCGCTATTTTTTATGAGTGGTGTACTTTTTTATTGTAGTATTGTATGATTTGGTGAGAGTCCTTGGCTACACAATAAAGATGTGAGATTAACAAATAAAAAAGAAGCAAAGATCATCACTCAATCTAGTAGTGAACTAAGCTGCTGAGTGCTGAGAGAAATGGAACTCGGAGGGGAAAACATTCATTCGCTGAGGAACAGCGGAAGGCAAAGGTTTTATAAACTACCTTTTTTTAAAAAACCTAAAAATAAAAAGCCATAATGAGTCTCCCCCCACCGCCAAAAAAAGGGGGACTGACCATGCTCAGATTTTATCCTGTAAACCACCACCAAGACGCACCAAGTATCATTTGGAAAAGAACAACAAAAAATGGAAGACGGGAATGTCAAGCTTGAACTTCCTCTAAGCTTACCATCTCCCTACCATTGGGTTGTTCTCATCTTTATTTTGATTACAGTGGTACCTCGGGATGCGAACGGGATCCGTTCTGGAGCCCCGTTTGCATCCCAAACAGAATATAAGGCGCGACAGTGTGTCTGAGTGTGTGTGGGTCGCATTTCACCGCTTCCGCGCATGACGTCATTTTTACCGTCTGCGCATGCGCGAGCGACGAAACCCGGAAGTAACACGCTCCGTTACTTCCGGGTCGCCGCAGAGCGCAACCTGAAAGCGCTCAACCTGAAGTGTATTTATCTTGAGGTATAACTGTATGTATATTTTGTGGTTTTATATTGTGATTTTATCCTGTGAAACACCCTGAGACCTGTGGGTATAGGGTGTTGTATGACAAAGAAGAAGAAGAAGAAGAAGAATGAAGGAAGGAAGAAGAAGAATGAAGCAACTATCACTACGTAGCCTATACAATAATGGAAGCTGTGCCGGCTTTTCTTTTATTCCATCATCTAGAACAGAAGTAGCCATGATACTGGTACTTTCCAGAATTTTGGACTACAACTCTCATCAGCTGCAATCAGCACAGCCAATAATAATTGGGAGTGACAGGAGTCACAGTTCATAACATCAGGAGGGCATGATGTCATTGATTCCTGGTCTAGAAACGATAGCAGGCAACCCTCCTGTCAGCAGCCACTTCTGTCACTGGCTTAGCTAAAGAAGCCGCAGCTTTACACTGGTGAAGAGGACTACTGCCCAAGCCCGGACCATGCTCTTGCCAAGCCCTGAAGCTCCAGAAAGTAGCAAAAGTACTACATGCAAAGCTTGTGGAGATTTTGCAGAGATACATGTTACATGTACAGCTTACATTCAATGAGATGGGTGTCAGTTCTATTTTCCTCAGAATATACTGAAGTAATTAGAGCAAAAACTATGAGGGGAGACAGAAGCAGCAAAGCTTCCGTTGAAAGAAAAGATGTAACAAGCTACTCCCACACCTATAGAGAAGCTATATATAATAATCTGCCAAGGAAGAACTACCAAATCTTCAAAGTGCTTTTTGCAATTGCTTACAATGGACTATTATACCAGTCTCAGTTCCTTTTTCTACTTGGGCTTTAAGTGATTTCTCTTTTGAGTTGTAATTTAACATTCTGCAAAACTGCTCTCGGAATGAAACAAATTTCATTCATATATGTTTGCTGTTTTTACCATGAAAGGGTCTTTTAATTGCTCCTATTAACTTTTTGGTGAGAACATACAATACAAATATATAAAAATCGGAAATAATTGTTCAGTCTTCTACAGACATTGTTCTCTGCCTCTTACCAAGAAAGATGCTTTTATTGGTGTCCTTTAGAATCACAGAATTGTAGAGCTGGAAGAGACCCAAAAGGCCTTTCAGTCCAACCCCCTGCAATGCAGGAATTATAAGCAGAGAATCCCTGATGGATGACCATCCAACCTCTGCTTAAAAACATGCAATGAAGGAGATTCCACTACCTTCCAAGGTAGTTCATTCCACTGTCAAACAGCTCTTACTGTCACAATGTTCTTCCTAATGCTCTAGCACTGCTGAAGCACTGCTCTTGCACAAATGAACTGGAATTGGACTTGTAACGATGGTTTTCTGGGCTGAAAAGAAGTGTGATGCTTGGAAGAAAACTGCCTGCCCTCCAAAACTGTTGCATGTGCTTGGAGGAAACCGAACCTAAGAAAGGTTGTGTGAGAAAGGGAAATTCCCACCCTTCCCAAAGCCAGAAGGTTAACCATCGGTTCATCCTAGGAATTGGTATCTTTGCAATTCCATGGAGATGGCAACCCACGTCCTAGGAGGAGACAGAGGAAGAATCTTCAAAACAAAACTTAATCATACTAATTTAGGGACAATAGTAGCTGCCCTACACAAGTCATTAAAAGTGTTAGGAAAACCTTCTCAGTGTATCCAAAAGCACACAAAAAAACTGATATTGCCATAAAAAAATGCTTACGTATGAAGTTGTTCATGAAGCAAGCTTGGGCAGCGATCATCCACTCTGCTCTAGTTTCACAGAAGATGGCAATGTTCGTCTTCGGTTGAATGCCCAACACAGTTAATCCATCTCCAAATTTTTTCGCTTTATTGAAAACATCATCGTACGAGAGCCACATATATTTTCCAAGGATAACCTTAATAAATAAAAAAAGACTTTTTAAAAAATCACAAACAAGCCTAAGCATGCATAACTGCATTTCTGTGTACTTGCTTGCCTTTGTCTTTCATCACCATGTTTGTTTTCCTGTCTAACAATATTTAGATTGAAAGGCCCATGAGACGCAGACATGACATTTTGCATAGGTTACTTTCCAAAACTTACCGTGCAAAGTGGTGCTGTATGAATAAAAATACAATATAGAAAAGGAAGGGTACGGAACTGTTTCTTATCTCCCTAGTCAAGTGAGTGGATTAATTCTGTTATACCAAATGCCCGTATTGGTCTTGAATATAAGCCTCACTTTTTCCCCAAATTCCAACCGTGAAAAGTGAAAGTTCGGCTTAAATTCACAACCTTACAAAAATGGGCTTTTACGATATCACTGCTGAAACAGACATACGGTAAAACAAAACAAAAAAATGTTTCATTGCCTATTTGAGAGCTTAAGACGGTTCATTTGCCATTTGCGGGTGTGAGTGCCTGCGGAATTGTAGCAATTGAATTGAAATTTGCACTTTTAGCAATTGTACGGTAACTTTTGCGGGCTTGCAAGATCAAAGCTTTAAATTGGCTAAGAGTTACAATTCTACCAACCGCAGCAATTTTCAGCCTGCAACCCAATTTTAAGGGAGTGGCTTATATTCAGGTATTGTCTTTTTTCCTTTTTCCCCCCTTTGAATTTTAAAGGTGTGGCTTATTTGCGGGTGCGACTTATATTCGGGCCAATACGGTATCAGAATTGTATCAATTATCTGTAAGTGCTATTCAAGAAGAATTCAGGGGTGAAACAATCCCAAGCCCCAATCCACCATGCTGGAGAGGACACTGAATAGAGCAGAGGGGTCCTCTACTCAGTGCTGCATAGTTTCTTTGGCCTTCACCATCAGGAAAGCTCTGCCAGCCTCCGACATCGGGGAAGGCCTGCTGGTGAGGAGTGCCCCAAAGTGCCCACACAAGCAGCAGCTGGAATACTACCAGTGGTAGTATTTCCACCAGAAACCCCCCAGAAGCAGGGCATTTTGGAGTGGGGATGGAATGACAGAAGATCCTATGCAGACTTGCCACCGCCACATGATAGTGACAGGCCCAATCTTAGCATCCATGCTGTACCAGCCAGAGAGATGACCCACAAATGACCCACAAAGGGGCATTCGCCCCTGGACCCCCACCTCCTGCCTTGGCTAGCGCAAGTGCGCTGCCAACCAAGGGCTAGGACTGCAACAGGAAGTTTCCCAAAAGCAGCCTTGCCACTCGCAACATCAGGTGGGATTTCAAAGAACAGGAAGAAAGCAGGGAGGTGTGTTCAACATTAGAAAGACATTTCAGATTCAAAACCCAATGACAACTTTGATTTTCAGTTTCATACCAGTTTTTTGGACTACATTTGTGTTTCTAAAAAAAAAAAAAAAAAAGGACTGAAGCTACTACTATCATATTACATAAAATCCAGACAATGCTACTAAAACCACATCTAGACTATGGGTTTCCAGATCAGCAAAACTGCTAAGTTTTTTTCCTGTTAAAGCTTCTACACTAAGCAAAAACTGTGGGTAAGGGGCCCATGCTGCACAATGTTTGCCACAGATCCCAGACCTGCCATCCTCTTGGTCTCCACTGAGGAACTGAGTGTGGTCGCTAGCCCCCTGCCTCACACCATGACAGCAGCTTTAATAGGAAGAGACTGGAGTGTCTAATCTATGCAATTTTGCACACAGAAGGCTATTTTACCTAGTGCTGCACCGCACAAGCAAAAAGCGTTCGACAAAAGTGAGCATAAAAAGATAAACACTGCTCCCTAGTGTGTGCTTTTTGTTATAACACTTAAGTACAAATACAAGTCTGCTGTGATCAAAAATAAAGTAAATTTCAATGGGGCCATGAGGTTACTAAGGTTGTGCTCCTAACAAGACCTGCTAGGAGTAAGCCCTCACTGCCATCAATGAGACCTGCATTCAAATCAACATGCACAAAATGGCAACTTGCACCCTTCAGCTTGCATTCCCTCACTGAATTAAAAGGAAAGCCTCCTCTTCAGATTCCATACAAGAGTTTTGACAAAAATTATGAACCTTATGTGCCACTTAGGACACGAGGAAGATTACAAACGTTTATTGCACTGCAATTTTCTCCTAAATGTATAAAATTCTATTTTTCAGTACAAAAGAAATAAACAATTCTCAGATGGGAATGCAGAATTTTGTTGTAAATATCCCCCAAAACTTTAGATTTTTATGCATAAGCTCTTCCATTTCAGTAATGGAAGGAAAAAGTAAGACAAGCAGTTAAATTCACCAGCAATTATGCACTTGAAAATAATCTTTATAATCTACACTTGTGGTCTTTTGTTTGTGTTTAAATAAACTAGAATGTATCCAATACTGCCATCATATGGAACAAAACAGAATAGCAGCAAGTGTGCTTATTCTGATTGCTATTCACCAGAGAGCCTTCTTGACATTAGTATTATGGACACAGGACAGCGTTGTCATGTTGTTTGTAATATTTATTTATAAAATAGATCTATATATTGCTGTCTCATATATATATATAGATATATAGATATATATATATATAGACACACACACACACACATATATATATACACACACACACACACACACACACATATATATATATATATATATATATATATCAGCAGTTTACAACATAAAACCAGATGATAAAATTATAGAAAGTTAAAAACTAGCTTAAAACAAATAGAAATTAAAAACATTCATCAATTGACCATGGGGCGGGGGGGTTTACTCTTAACTACATGCATAGTTCTGGAGGAACAGAAAGTTTTCAGCATGTTTCTAAAAGTCAGCACAGATGAATTGGAGGCTATGATACTTAGTTGTATTTTACAGCTTGGTTTTTGTTTGTTTTTGGTTATTGTATTTGTAAACTGCCCTGAGAAACCTGGTGATGACGGGGCATGATATAAATCTACACTAGATCTTAGCTAAAAGGCTGAAAGCAGTAACAAAAATTATCCAATGACTTATCTGCATATTTGAATCTGTTTTTAACATGCATATTTGAATCTGTTTTTAACATCACACCACGCTCGCCATTTCAGTAGTCTAGCAGTTCAATAAAAGCCAATATGGCTTTTGAAATACTTTATGTGAGCTGTACCAAATGCAGTCTGACAACTCCTTTTTCCTTACTTTAGCCACCATGTTAACACTGACATGGAGCTGGGAGAATGAGGCTTGCTGAAGGAGTAAGTGTTCCAGTTATGTGACTCATTTCTCTGCAGGAGGTTGGGCAGGAGCAACTTGGAAGGTTCTATGGGTTCTCCCCACCCCAAAAAGTGGCACACACAATTGTGGAGAGGAGGTCAGCTCTGTGGAGTTCACGGTCCCCCCCTTGACATTATCCAAGCTGCTTTAGAATGTAAGGGGCAAAGAACTGAACTCTCACTTCTCTTTCTTCTCACTTCCCAGGTCCAGTTGGGGGGGGGGTCAAACAGAAGCTCAGAAAGGAAGACAGCCCCTCATAAAGCTTTGCCAGACACATTATTATAAAAAGTGGGGAAACTAAGATGACCATTCCGCTAGAGGAAGGACACGAAGTGTCCTGGAAAAGCTTGTCCTGGGCTGCACTTCAGGGCCAAAGAACTACAATGCTCCCACAACTCAAAAGTGGTCCACCAGTGGATAAACTCAACATTTTAATCAGATCATTCTTCCCTGCCCCCCCTTTCCCTTAAAAAGAAAAATAAGAGGAGAATAAGCAGTTCCATCCATTTGGCATTTTGCAACTGCCAAGTAGTTTAATAACTTGCATAATAGAATGGCCTAAAGCTCCCTCATACTGAACATTCATTCCACTAATTATGCTTAGAAAATAAACTTACTAAGTAGCTAAAATGTTAATCTATGCTCAAAAGCCGTTTGCAGGCAGTAACAACTTGTTTTCTGTAACTTTTCAAGCCAACCAGGATGAGGGTCATGCACATTTATGAATCACAAGCCCTCGCTGCTCATGAATAGCAAGTTTTAGCTGGACTCACTAGGAAGCCAGTATTTGTGGCTGCCCGCAACTATCACCAATCCATCCCCTGCCTCAAGACCTCTGGCAGGAAGAGAGAATGCAAGCAAGGAGTGGCGTACTTTTTTCCTCACCTTACATTCAAAGGTATATAAAAAACCAAGAGCACACAGCTCTTGCTTCCCATTAAAATCCTCCATCCTAGAAGAAACTTAAGAGGATAAAAAATAGGTAAGAGAGCAGTGGTACAAAGGCAATATGACTAATTTGTTCACTGGATGAGCTCCCTGCACTGCTGCTGAATGTGGGAAGGGGGGTCTTAACTCAGCAGTAGTGCACACAGAGAGGGTCCAAGGTTATTCCCCAGTCTCTCTGTATGGGGATGGTAAAAGACCCCTGAAGATGGACTGGCCAGGCATTAACACAATTTCCTTTGCTTTAAGAAAATGATAGGCTCAGTGTGTAACGTTTGGTTTGTTTTATTTATTAATAGTTATAACAACCATCTTAATAAAGAGTAGCGGCTGTGGAACTAATGAGTGCTCCCTACCTCTTCTCATTTCTAATAATGCTACTCTGTAGGCATAATTTAAGCTGTGTTTAACACCATATCCCAGTTACGTGATTCTCCAGAAACAGAAGACTTTAAATGGACAGTTAGAAGTGACTGCTGGGACAGAAAATAAAGACAGCTACTGAACAGATCTATAAGAAACCTGTACCTCCATGCTAGGAAGGGATTAATCACCCAGACTTTAAAATCACAAGAGCACTCCTCTCTTTTACAGCATCGTTGTTCACATTACCTGCACAGGTAATGGCCATTTTGCTGTGCAGCTAAGCCATTTTTTGGCTTTGTGTTGTCATTTGAACCCAGTCTCCTAGTTTTGCTCTCCAGACAAACCACAAAATGTGAATCTTGGGGCAACCTTTTGTCACAGCTCTTGGCATGTCTGGAAAGAGCTAACCCACAAGCCCATGTCTGAATGGCACATTAAGCCAAACCATGGCCTGGTTCAGTACAGCGACAAAACAACCAGGGAAGAGCAAAACTGTCCCATTCTTTTCTGTGGCAGTTTGCTTGTTTGCACTAAGCCAAGCTATGTCCTGGGTTTACGTATGCACTGGGCCAATACTTTCGAAGCACTGGAACTAAATGGAGAATGTTGAGTTTAACTCCTGCACGTAGAAGTGTCTACCAACACCAAAATGCCCACTAGAGCACACCGATTCTTTCCTTCACCAAAATGAGCCAAGAGAAAAAGTCAAAGGACTTGGAGTTGGGGGGTGTTGGTCTGTCAAATACAAGTATTTTCTCTGCAGTGTATGGAGAACTTGGGCAAACAGGTCTTTGCGTTCAGGACAGTTGTCAAAGAGGGAGGAGCAGATGCCATCAGTTACCTGGCAATGGGATTTCTGGGTTCATGAAAACCAAGTAAAAACCCACTTAAGCCATGGATCAGTGATTCTCTACCATCACAAGCAAGTCTGAAGTCTCCAGCCATTTCCCACAGTGCTATTTCACACAAACTATTGTGCGGCCTGTGGGGGTCCCTCCAAGATTCCAGGCGATTGCTGCCCCGGGCGGCCTTTCCTTCTTGTCCCCTCCACCATTTAAGCCTCAGAACTTCTCCCAACAAGGGTCCAAGTCAACAAAGTTTGAAAAACTAGAGCAACAGTAGATGACCATCAGCCATAAAAATGTACCCACCTCCGTGAATTTGATTACTAAACTGGAAGTTTGAGATGGCACTATCCCAACCAAAGGTAGCAAACATACAAATTATCCATCAAGACCCAGGAGAAGATTTGTGAGAACTCATCTGTAGCCAACTGTTCTGAAAAGGTCCACACAGTAGACATGCTTCCCTCTGTCAAATCAAACTTACCAAGGAGCACTATTATATTTAAATTTGACGCAAAAACATACGCTAGCCTGCTTTCCATACCATGACTGCATATACACCGTCTATACTCCTTCCTTACAACATAAAAGATTTTACACTAGGAGTGGGGAACCTGTGGCCTCTCCTGATGTTGGCAGACTCCCAAAGGCCACCAGTGCCAGCCAGCATGGCGAATAGGCAGGGATGATGGGAGATGTAGTTCAGCAATATGTGGAGGGTTACAGGTTCCTCACCTCTGCTTCACATTCCATTTAAAAAGGGATGTTTTAAAAAAGACGGAAACATAGCATACCTTTTTAAAAACCTTTCCAGATGGCTGGATTTCATCTTCCTCCTTCAAGACTTCCCGTGTTCCCAGGAGTTTTCTGTCCTTAAATTTACTCCTAGCATACTTGAAAGCTTTGTCGAGTGTATCACAACCAGGGTATAAGACAGATGCTAAGCAATGCAAACTGTTAACAGATCTGTATGCACTGCCTGGCCTGCAACTCACAGGTTTAGCTTTAATTTGCTTTGACTTGGCTATGACATGTCTTGCTCCAGAAAATAAATACCATGGAATAAAAGTTATAACTGTGTAAAGCAAGATTACAAAGTTTATAAACAAAAGAAGCAATGGATTGATATCATGCTTTAGCTTCATAGAGTCCATTTTTGAAGATTTCATGCTCTCCTGTGTAGCTTACAAAGTATATCACAAAAAGATCAATGAAGTCCTGAAACAGAAAAGAAGGGGGGAAACTATCATCACACATTGGCCGCATTGACTTAGGTTTCATAATTAAAACTCATATTCCATTTATGGAACCATTTATGGAACATTTAACCTCTCCACTTTTGAATGTTTGAGCACATCTTTCATGTATGAGTCCCCCATATTTGATTCACAGCACCTCCAGTTAAAGGGTTCTGAGGTAGGGAAACTGAGAAAGACATTTACCTACCCCTCCTCTCTACACAGGTCCTTCTTCCACTTCCTTGTTTTCTTTAACCAAATTTTTCACAACGAACTCATAAAATCACAGAATTGTGGGGCTAATTGTCAAATGAAGGTTAGCACTTTCCTACAAGGGTTCCTGGTTCATCTAATCAAAGTTCACAACAGCAGCCCAATTGACAAATGACGTTTAGCACTTTGCCTCCAAGCAATGGCTGACAAAACTATTTCAAACCATAGTTGAAAGGCAAACCGCTGCCAAGTGGTTGATCATGATAAAATGATTAGGTAAACTGGGAAGCGTAGAAGGAAAGATGCATTTCAGGCACAAGGAGTCTGCATCACATTCTCGAGCCTCCGAACCATGATTTGGAGAATGTGTTTTGGGACATTTGAATTGAGCCAATACAGTGGTACCTCGGTTTAAGAACAGTCCGGTTTAAGAACGATCTGATTTACAAACTTCGCCAAAAAAAATAGTGTCTTGGCTTGAGAACTTTACCTCAGTCAATGAACGGTGGAAGGGCACAGGTGGTGGGAGGCCTCATTAGGGAAAGCATGTCTTGGTTTAAGAACGGTTTTGGTTTAAGAACGGACTTCTGGAATGGATTAAGTTCATAAACCGAGGTACCACTGTATAAAGAAGCCTGTGAACAATGTCTAGACCTCATAAAGTCAAATATATGTTGTTCAAAAGGGTAGTACAAAATTCTCAGTATACTTAGAAGAGTCATTCTTAAAATATACTCAAAAATAAATTGCAAAAAAACCCCATTTCCCCCCCCAAAAAAGCACAGGAAACTGAAATTTTCTACTGAATCTGCCACTGGTCCGCATAGCTCACAATTTCCTACCAAACTGACTAGATGCAGTCCTCCTATCCAGTACTTACTGCAAATTATAGACATACATTAAAGCTAAATTAAGCAAGGAATATGAATGACACATTCAGTGTTTACAATCACCCTTTAAAAAAAAAAGGAACGTTTTTTGAACATTGAGAAATGGCACAACATCATAAAATGTCATCTTACTTGTTCACCTTACTTACCAAGCCATATTGCTATGTGGCCTTTAAATATATGTTTAATTCACTGGCAGAACTTGCATTAACACCTTCTGTTGTGCCTGTAAGAAAGCAAGAGAAATGGTATGCTTTTAGCTCACAAACCAAAGTTCAGATAATGATAGAAGGGCATGCTCTCTCCACAAATTATCATACTACATTCATAGTACTTCAATTTTACTATAAGCTATAATAAGCTATCTGAAAAACGATGGGATAAAAATATACTACAAATCTAAATATTTTACATGCAATTACATTTCACAATTATTAACCAAGGCTACCACAACATTCAGCAAACCCAATCCAGCCAACCTTTCTGCATGTGTTCTGGAGTAAGCAAGCTACAGACAAGCCTAGCTAATGCTTTTAAGATTGTGGTCAAAATCTACAAACTAGGGGATATGCAAACTTTTACACAGAACTCTTCAACAAACAGTCATGCTATCGATAAAATTGAATTGAAGCACTTAACATTGCACAATGTGCACTAAAAGACCTCAATAATATAGGAGTCATAACCATAAAAGAAAATAGCAGCTAAATGTGCTAATATCAATATTTAAATGGATGCTAAAAGGCCTGGGTGGGCAGGAAAATCCCTGCCTGGTACCAGCACAACATTAGAGAGAATTCTGCCAACCAGTTTCAGACAGCAATTAACATCCATGAATTTAACAGTTTTGTGGCACTTTACTTTTAAAAACTAACAAATTTATGAAGTTGATTAAAGATTCCTTTCTTCATGTAAAGAGAAAGCAGTGCCAGTAGCCCCAATTTCTGTCCTGAAATATGCAGCGCAAAGCAGAAGGCTTGATGGCAATCTCTGTATACTTCTAGTAAACAATTCAAGTAAGAATTTGGGCAGGGAGATTGTACCCGTGGGCTTGGTCATAAAAGGCCCACAGGACTAAAAGATCAGCTGTGTCTTCCCCATTGTTCAGTTCCTCTACTAACCAACAGAGAACCAACTTGTTGTAGCGCAGGTCTTAATTTCTAAAGCCTCTCTTTCTTGCAGTCTCTTTGCAATAGTGTGGGCATCTAGGTCGAACAGAAGATACTGGCTTTGTTCTATTGCCACAACCTTGGTCTTTTCTCTTCACTGGAAATGGTCTGAAGGACTGATGGGTGCTCTGAGTCCTGCAGGAACTTCCCCCTTTGTGCTGGCCTATTTTCACCTGGCCTGGGTGGGTGGGGCCCTGACTGACTCCAGCTACAAGAGGTGGTGCTGCGGCAGTGGCGGCAGCCAGAGACCTGTTTATCCTGTGACCCCTGAAATACTTCCTAGTATGGATGCCTAGAAGCCAGCAGGGACAGATATTGTGTCTGTTTTGTTGGGGTCAAGATTTGTGGGTTTTTTGCTGTTATTGGTAGTATGATATTTGTTGTTATGGGTATTATTCAACAGTTTTAGTCAGAATAGACTCACTGAAATTAACAAACTTAACTTAGTCATTTTCATTAATTCCTATGGTTCCACTATGAGTTAAACTTAGCTGAATACCACCCTATTTCTTTTAATATAGTTAGACCTTATTTTGAATTATGTGCAAGTTTAATTTTACTGTAAACTTAATGAGATGTTTTTATTAATTCATGATAAGGCATAACAATAACGATAAAAATAGGGTGATTTTACAAAAATAGAACAAGATTTAAATAATTAAGTAACAGCCACTGTGGTGCAGTGGTTGAAGTACAGTGGTACCTCGGGTTACAGACGCTTCAGGTTACATACGCTTCAGGTTACAGACTCCGCTAACCCAGAAATAGTACCTCAAGTTAAGAACTTTGCTTCAGTATGAGAACAGAAATCGCACAGCAGCGGCATGGCAGCAGCGGGAGGCCCCATTAGCTAAAATGGTGCTTCAGGTTAAGAACAGTTTCAGGTTAAGAACGGACCTCCAGAACAAATTAAGTTATTAACTCGAGGGAGTCCAGGATTCAAACCTCCACCTAGCCATGAAACCCATTGGGTGACCTTGGGCCAGTTACTATCTCTTAACCTGATCTATCCCACAAGGATGATGTGGGGATAAAATAAAGAGAGAGAAGCAAGTATATCATATTGAACTGTTGGGGGCAGGGCAGAGGTGGGATACCAGCAGCATTTTTTCCTGGGAATTTGATTTCCCTGAAATTGCTGCTTGTGAGTTTCCAGAAAGTATACCACATGGTCTATATTCTCCATCTCGAAGAAAGAACACAAATCATGGCAAGCATTTTAGGTTTCAATAACAAAGAACAAGTTTCAAAGGCCCACTCTTCAGTACAGCTAAAATTAAATTATATTGAAAAAATACTATTTAAGAGCAGCTATTCTTCAAAAATACTATTTAAGAGCAGCTATTCTTCAAGAGCACCTGCTAACTCTGGTTGTTGTTAGAGATAAAATGAGAAGTCCCAGTCAACTCTGAAATACAAGGAGGTAGGGAGAAGGCAGGTTGATTCCCCACTTCACCCTTTCTAAGCTGCACCCTGGTACTGCAAGGAGCAAGGTAGCTTATATAGTCTTTCTTTGCTTTATTTCACCCACAATCTCTTTGGTGACAAACTATATTATGGATGCAGCTTTAAATAATTTTTTGCCAGGTTCCACTCAAGTATTAAATAAAAAAGCCTGTTTCAAAGAAAATGTGTTTTAGGATTTATTCAAAATCAGTCTGTCCAGAGTTCTGGGAAATGCACTGACTGATCCCATTATACAATTATTACACAATAATTACTTTCAGAGGTACGGTTCTTAAATGGGAAAGTGGGGGAAAATCCAGATAAAAATGTGTTTACCAGCTGATCTGATAATCCTGTGACGAACAATTAAACTAGAATAAAGCACAAAGTGTCAAGACAAAGAGACCTTAAATGACTTCTCATTGTTGTGGTTGGTACCGATGGGACAGCAGTTTCTAGGCGCTTCAGTCTCAGCTGAGTATTTCACCCACAACGTTGCAGAAATCTAAAAGACAAAAATGAGAAATTAAATTAAAGCAACTATAAAAAACTAATTGCTGCCCTTTCACCTAAATAGATGCAAGATCCAACTTGCAAATTTTCCAAGTTGCACCACATTAATTAGATACAGACAAAATACAATTACTGCCATGGTACCCCATAGTCCATTGCATCACATTTTATTTATTTCCTGGATTTGTATCCCACCAACACAGCATTCGGGGAGGCTCACAACCAAAAAAACTAAAACCTAACATCCAAGACTAAGCAATTATACATCATATTGATTCCAAGTCACAGGCCAATTTATCCAACTATGAGATGTGAACCATCCACTCAAATCTGGATTCTGTTGGTTACTAGCCCATGTTTAACAGATCATGCACATCTACCACCACGTGTGGTATTCCATTTTTGGTACGTCACAGGGAACAATTGCTTTTTGATAATTTGCCAGTACTCTAAAATTTGAGTCCTGCTCACAGAAGTGGATGCAGACAACCAGGTGCCTACAGTTAGGAACTGGAACAGAAAACATCTTCAGGTGCTTCTCTTGCGGACAACATAAAAGTCCACTATCTCACACAGAGGAATTAAGTCACAACAGCCTGTATCCTCCAAATAGCAGAAATATGTACTTTGCAAACAATAATAAAATTTCAAACATGCAAGAACAACATGCTGAAAGACTGGGTTAGAAGAATTACTGATGGGCTTAACAAAACAATTCTCTCTTCAACTTTTGCACATATGCCCTAAGGAAGGCCATCTGCTCCCAAGATCGTAAGGTGAGAATCCGAAAGAATTCAAAAATGCTTAAAACTACAAGAACTTCTAGTGTACAGTTTTCATTTTTGACAGGTAGGTGGGTTGTCTGGGTTTTAAAAAAATTAACTAGAAACGCCTTGACAATTGCCTAACCTTGATTAGGTTTATTCTTTTTTAACAATAGCATTCAACACAGTTCGCAACAGTCAAATCTAATATAGAATAATGATATTTTAGTAGACAACTCAGTCAGTAGAGCATATGGCTCTAAATCTCAGGGTCGTGGGTTCAGGTCCCACACTGAGAAAAAAATTACTGTATTGCAGGGGGTCGGAAGAGAAGACCCTTGTGGTCCCTTCCATCTCTATTGTTCTATGATAATATGAGAGTAAAGTCCTAGGGCACAGTTTCTCAAACTGCAATCCATGAATTCCATTCAGATGGCCTAAGGAAAAGTTATGGAATGTTTGATAAGATTTGCACTTGGTCCTGAACTTGGTTGCTTTTCCCCCCCTGAGACCAGTGCACGAGGCTGTTTACACAGAGTCAAATTATCAAAAAGATTAACAAGGACCCATGATTATCAGAATTATTATCAATTTAATTTATACACAATTTAAGCATACACAAAATAATTAAATATCTAAAAACAGATGCAGAATATGACAATGATGCTGGTGTTGAAGGGGCGATATTATGCTTCATATTTAATCCAGAAACAAAACCTGAATATATATTTTTCTGGCTTGGTATCACCATACTCATTACATACTATTATTTGGTTGCAATAGCCTGCATATGTTATCATCAGATGCACTTCCGCTAGCGTACATGGTTGGGTATTTTGTGGCTGTTTGTCAACTGTGTGTTTAAGGGTTTCACTTGGTAGAGTGAAGGGAAGGGAACATGGAAGGGAAACAATGTGTACAGTACATGATGTGAATTTATAGCTGTTAATGAAAAGGAAACTCCCACTTAAAACACAATCTTACTCACAGTTGCTCCCCTGCACCTTTTACAGAGCAGAAGTATAATGCAGAGCAGAAGTATAAATGCATGAGGTATCAGCTAAAGCCAGTGTGGTGTAATGGTTAGTGATGGACTAAGACTTGGGAGACCGTCCAGTTCAAAACCCTACTCAGTCATAAAGTTCATTGAGTGGCCTTGGGCCAGTCACCATCACTCATCCTCATAACAAACCTGTGAGGTAGGTTAGGCTAACATGAGGAGAGGGAGAATTATGTATGCCACCTTGAGTTCCTTGGAAAGGTGGACTATAAATGTAGTAAATAAAAACAGTATTTTAACAAATGCACCTTGCTATAAATTTTACATATTTATTATAAAGTTGTTTGCACATTATACAGTTTAATTTTACTACCTGCTGAACTTTCTGTGCACTGCTCAGTTGCATTTCAGGGCTATACTGCAAACAAAGAAAAATATGTCACAAAATTACTTTGCTGTAACATATATCAGGCTCCACAGTGAACCAGCAAACCGTTTGCTTCTGCCCCAGTTTGGGTGGCGAGAATATAGAAAAATAATGGATTGAAAACACCCAGATACAAAATTTAAGCTACTGATCTATTTTATATGTACTTCACATACAATCCTGTGTGTGTCTACTAAGTGTACTAAGTCTACTAAGTGTGGTGGGAGTTAAATTGGTCTTACATTCTGGTGTGTGGTTTCAACCTTAGCCTGCAATCCTATGCACATTTACTTGGGAGACTGGATGAGTGTACATTGGACTGCATTAGTCTTCAGCTACTTCATCAGCGAGCAGCAGTAACAGGTGTTGGGTGAGAAGCCCGGTGATAATCTAGCCCCATCAAAAGCTGTGCGGCAGCAGTATTCAGTTCAAGGGGAAACTGTCAAATCCGAAACTAACTACGTTAATTAAAGGAAATATTATTTGGGGCCTCTTTCCTTTTTGATAGCACACATGCCTTAATGTTTTTATTTCTTCCGCTGTGCTTGTGGCTCGCTATCTTAAAACCCAAAAACCAGTAGTGGGGATAAGCATCTTAAAATTGGAGCTAAAATCAAAGAACGGAACAATCGCCCTTCATTTCTAACAGCAGAACAGGAAAGCTTTGAGGCAACTTGTATCTATATATATATCTATATATAGCTTCGGGGAAAACGCGTGGAAGTTGGCGAAGAGAAAGCGCTGAGTGAGCCGAGTGACGCTTGCTTGGCGTCTTTCAGCATCGTCACCCGGATGACGGAGGAGGCGCTGCGCTGTTCCTAATGGTGCAACTCTGGCTGGGGTGCAAACCTTACCTGGCCAAGTGGGATCCCTTGGTAGGCGGGAGGGGGGGAGGCGACCTTCGTCCCCCGCCCCCCACCCGCTAGGTGTACCAGGCAGCACCCACTGCCATCCGATTCCTTGTCCCGGGGGTTGAGAGCAGCCTCGGAGGAGGAGGAGGCGTTGCCGTGGAAACGGAAAATCCGCTTTGTGACGCGGTTCGAACAGCGGCCACTTCCCTCTAGCCCGCCCCTCCCCATCCGAGACCCAGACAAAAGGAGCCGCTCGGAGCCCACGTGGCTGCAAGCCGGCAGGCACTGGCCTGTTTCCACGCCCCCAGCCCGTAAACTCCGCCCTCCCCTCGAGGGGAGCGCCGCGCATCGGGGAAACTTGGCTTCACGCGCATTCCACAGGGATTCGGTGTCAGAAGATAAGCAAGGTTTGGCTGCCGGGTTGGAGCCAAAAGGTGCGGCTGCGGTTGTTTCAGTGGGGAGGGGGGGAGCTCCGCTATAGAGCTCCCAGTAGTTTTAAGGAAGCCGGTTGCACATGTTTCTGCACAGGAGCAGGTACTGGGAAACGCCCAACGAGCCTAGGAGAGCTACAACATGCTTTAAGCGCGATCTCACAAACTTGTAGGGTTTTCCCTGCTTCCTTGAATGTGTTACGTTTCAATGCAGCTATAGGAGTGTCGATTAAACTGCCTTGTGTTGGTCTTTACGGGTATCGTATGATACTTCATGCAATACTTTTCCTGAAGGTTACTTGATTAAAAATTGGACTACACTTCCCATTATTTGCAGCTCACTGGCACGGCTGGCTGGGGCTGCTGGGAAATGAAGTACAACAATGTCTGGATGACCAGTTTCCTCATCCCTTGGGCAGGTCCTGTCACCATGTTTGACAATCTGCACCCTTAAGGCACATATGCAGCCTAATGGACTGGAATGCTTACTTTGATTTCAAACTCTATTTTTGTAATGAAACAGCAAAAGTAAAGTGAAATAGATCTTTTACCAGGATAGTCATCAAAATTATATAATTTGAGCAAGTCAACAGCAAGTTGGGGTGTGAAGGTAAACAAACTGTTATGATACATGACATAGGTGTTTTACTCTGGAGCTTTTTATTAGCTCACCAGGATAGTAAACATTAAATGTTGATTGCCACACAAAAGCAATACAGTCTAGTGATCTGTGAAATGACCGTGTATTGGGCACACCAACAGCCTTAATATTTTATTTGGTAAATATTTTATTAATACGCCTTTAGATTCAAAATTTCCTGGGGGCCTTTTAAATTATAAACAAACTTTCAGGCAAAACAAGTTTTCACACTATAAAAAGGTGGCAATTGTGGGGTATTCTTATTCATTCTACATTGCAGTAGACATAGTATTATTCTGCTAATACAGCCAAACAAATAATTGCTATACTTTATAAAAAATGATGTGAATTAATAAGGTTTTTATTGTTCATGTTTAGTAACTGCAAATGTAAATGTCTACCATTTGTTTGCTTACCTGTGAACTGATTTTTAAAAAAAACCTTGTCCCTCTCTATCACTTTATAGTTAATTACTATAGCTCTTTCCATAATTGCATCAAGAAGATGAGGAAAGCTCTACCTGTGCAACTGCTGCTTGATGTTATATACACAGTATCGGGAAGACATGGCAACCAGTATTAAATCAGACAAGCAGGTGTCTTAGCTCAGCATTCTGTCAGTACTTCTGGCTAACTAGATGCTGTACTGGCTAACCAGATGCAGAGCTTAATGTTGGCTCCTCACTAATGGGAAATGCATGGATTTAGCCTTGGACATTATAACACAGCAGTGCCATCAAACACATAATCCAGTGGTCTTCAACCAGTGTGCCGCTGTACCCTGGGGTGCCTTGAATGATGGTCAGGGGTGCCACTGGCAACACTAGCGCCTGTCACACTTTACTCTGGTCCCTCTGTCCTACCTCTGATGCCCTCTCTGATGCTTGCACAGCTGTTTATTGCAGCAGTCCTGGCAATAAGCTCTGCAGGTGAATGGTGCCTCTGGAAAGCACCTCTCTTTGGGGGGAGGCAGCTCAGAGACTAGGGACAGGCAGCTGCTCAGAGGACTCCCAAAGAGAGGGGAGAGTAGAGGAGGCTAAGGGAAAATTCCACATGGGATGGTGTTCAAAAACGGGTGAGAGGCTGCCAGCTCTGCAGGCAAGTGGTGACATAACTGGGCTCCTGAGCCCCACAGGGGTGCCACAGAAAGAATGTAGCTAGTCAAGTAGGTGGAGTCACAAAGGTTGAAAACCTCTGACATAATCTATAACTCACTAGCATAGCTATCTTACCTCTAGAATTGACCACACACACAAGTGTTCTCCCTCTTATCCCGAGTAATTATACCATACTGTATTGTAAATTAGAACAAACCCTTCCAATATAAGAGGCTAGTACTTCCACAGGGTTTTGAGCCCCAGCACTGCTCACTTTAGAAAGGAATTCCTGGCCAGATGCCTGTAGAGGATTTCACAAGAGCAGGATGATTTTCACCCTTTGTTAGTCAACTGCTACCTAAAACCCAGAAGTATATTCTCTACATTAAAGATAGTGTTTTGTGATTTAGCACAGCCTTGTAAATTAAGCTCACAAAGCTTACTCCCCAGCAAAAAATTTAGTGCAAGCCCCCTTCTCTGCAGCTAGTATGGAAATGCAAACTTAGTGGCCTCTTAGCAGGCTAGTGAAAACAAAACAAAAAGCTTGCCTTCTATTAGAAAGAAAAGCAGAGGGTGTCCCTCCTGTGTTGAATGTGGAAGAGAAAGAGTTTTCCATCCTTTGCCATTAACATGGTATCCAAGTGGAGTGCGGCAAGAGTACTCACCTGCATAGAATTCCTCATCACTCACAGCTACCTGGCAAGTTGTTAAATACAAGACTGATTTAATGGCCACAAACACATTAGTCATCCCTTAAGTGGTTTTAAGAGAGCTATTTTATGCACTGGGGCATAAGAACAATCTATGGCAATTCATTCCAAAGATGAACTCTGCATTGAGAGAATTGAAAAGCCACAGCTTAAAGCTGGCAATCTAAATTATATATACCTCAGATGACTCATATATAGAGAGAAAAAAGGTAAAGGACCCCTGGACGGTTAAGTCCAGTCAAAGGCGACTATGGGTTTGTAGCGCTCATCTCGCTTTTCAGGCTGAGGGAGCCGGCATTTGTCCACAGACAGCTTTCCGCATCATGTGGCCAGCATGACTAAACCACTTCTGGTGTAGTGGGACACCGTGACAAGTGCCAGAGCACATGGAAGCGCTGTTTACCTTCCTGCTGTAGTGGTACCTATTTATCTACTTGCACTGGTGTGCTTTTGAACTGCTAGGTTGGCAGAAGCTGGGACAGAGCAACGGGAGCTCATCCCATTGTGCGGATTTGAACCACCGACCTTCCGATAGGCAAGCCCAAGAGGCTCAGTAGTTTCCAGGTGTCTCACACTATCTGAGGTACGGCAATCAGAAGTGTAAGGTCCATAAAGATAACATCATAGACTTTATGAAGTAGTTTAAGATTGACTGTTTAGCTAGCTGTATCTCACTTAGTTGTGCAACACAATGACTGTGCATGACCCTTTTTTTGTAACAGTTTCAGAGATTGGGAAAGGATAGGAGAGATATTCCACAACACAGGGCACAGTGAGGATTGAAACCATATTACTAGAATCCAGTACTTCTGAATCTTGCAGGGGGTAGGGTTATCTCCAGTAGCAGACAACAGAAATAGCAGAGCAACAGAGAATAGGAATTGTTCATGCAGTCATTGATAGTGAAGACTAGGCAAGCAAGCAGGAGCATCTTTTGCCTGGGCTATAAAATAACTGCATGACAGAAGGCAGCAAAGGAGGAGGAAAGGAGGAAATAGTGGCTTCTTCATGGCTCATGTGCTTTCCCTATTACGTACTGTTACTTAGTAGTAGGTTTCGGGTTGAATTAGCAAGGGCTGGTATTGATTGATGCTTTATGATGTCAATCACCTGTCAATGTAACTTGCTGAATATCTCTTACTATTAACTAGTAGTCACAATCCAAATTGCACAACTCAGACATTGCAGCCAACTGTGATAATCACAAACCAGAAGCCAAGGAAGCAATCAGTACATGTATGGGGAGAGGTAGTCTCCAAGAAATCTTTCTTTTAACATGTGGAGTTTCCTTCTGCTAGTTGTGCTTTTGGTATAAATTGCCTTATGCCAAATCAGACCACTGGTCCAGCTTGCTTATGGTCTGCATTCTCAACAACGACTGGCAATAGGTCTCTGGAGTTTCAAGACAAAGTTTTTCCCCAGCCCTGCCTGGAGATACCAGGAACTGAACTTGGAATCCTTTCCATGCAAAACATGTGCTCTACCACTGGGACGCGGGTGGCGCTGTGGGTAAAACCTCAGCGCCTAGGACTTGCCGATCGTCAGGTCGGCGGTTCGAATCCCTGCGGCAGGGTACACTCCCATTGCTCGGTCCCAGCGCCTGCCAACCTAGCAGTTCGAAAGCACCCCCGGGTGCAAGTAGATAAATAGGGACCGCTTACTAGTGGGAAGGTAAACGGCGTTTCCGTGTGCTGCGCTGGCTCGCCAGATGCAGCTTGTCACGCTGGCCACGTGACCCGGAAGTGTCTTCGGACAGCGCTGGCCCCCGGCCTCTTAAGCGAGATGGGCGCGCAACCCCAGAGTCGGACACAACTGGCCCCTACGGGCAGGGGTACCTTTACCTTTACCACTGAGCTACAGTCATTCATGTGTTAAACACTTTGAAACTGAATGTTGGATAATTTGTTACAAAGTACCCAAAAAAATCCAGCTTTTGTTTTGGTAGCCTGTACCTGAGAAGTGAAGTTAATATGGCCTGGAGAGAATCTCCATTAAAGTAACTCAGTCAGAGCACATTCAAGAGATACAACACCTCCTGTGAAATCAATTGATTTCTTCACTGTGAATCTTTCTAAACACTTCTAAATTGAAAGTTAAAGAAAAGAACAACAGACACCTTCTAAACATGTGAAGCCAAAATGCAAATACCTAAAATCTTACTTCTTTCCCCACAATATCTAATCTGGTAGTTTCAAAGGCCCAAGGCTCCCACCAGAAAACCCACAAAAGAAATTAATCCTTTTCCTTCTACTCATTAGGACAGCAGAATAACGATGCACTTGTAGGAGCCATACCTCAGATATTTAGGACA